ACAGACGAAGATGGAGTTCCAGAAATCAGAGAGAATTCACAGGAACTGGGTGGCAGATGTGCAGAAGAGGAGATAGATCTGAAATTTCTTGTGGGTGACGTAGGAATGGATGGTGTATTTTGTGGGATAGCTGGGGAATGGCTGGGGTCAAGGCTTTTGTACAGTTGGATTTGCAGTGAAGGCATCCCATTATGCAGTGAAGTCCTGCAGCCCTAGGGCTTTTAGGAGCCAGCAGAAGAATAAGGAGAGAGAAATAGTATGTGTGAAGACCTACACTGTCAGACTGTTGATTCAGATATCCTCATCGCTAAAAAGGACCAGACTCTGCCACAGTGTCCGTGAATCTTCCGTATGGAACATCTAAACTAACCCATAGCTCCGTAAAAGGTGAAGTGACAGGTTTTTGTCACTTTCACTACCAAGGATGCCATAGTTTGCTCATTGCCAGAATCGCAGATGTATTCCCCGGCATCCTTCTGCTGTAGATCATGGATGAGTAGCTCTACAGCAGAGCCATCCTCTTCATCTCATACTTGTTGCTGGCTTGGAGCAAGACTGACCCTTTTTTCACAGAATCACAGAATTTTCGGGGTTGGAAGGGACCTCTGTGGGTCATCTAGTCCAACCCCCCTGCCAAAGCAGGGTCACCTACAGCAGGCTGCTCAGGACCTTGTCCAGGCGGGTCTTGAGTATCTCCAGAGAAGGAGACTCTACAGCCTCTCTGGGCAGCCTGTTCCTGTGCTCCGTCACCGTCACTGGTGCATTATATTTGGAGAGCTTGGCATGAAGGGTGACTGTAGAGCCTTCCTCGGCTTCCTGGTTTTGGAGGTTTTTTTTCAAAGAGTGCTGGAGTGGCTGGGACCACACACAGAGACAGAAATGGACAGCCACCATCAGAAGATCTGCTTACAGCACAAATATTCTGCTATCACTGGATCACGAAGTTAGTGTGACAGCAGGCAGGTGCATGCCCTTCATGGGAAAGCCCTCAAGGGATATTTCAAAAGATACTACACAAGAAATTCCTGGCTCCTCTTTATTTTAACTGATCTTGTATCTCAGAAAAAGTCACATTGATATTGTATTTGTACCAGAGTGGATTTTTAAAAATGGACATATGGGCACATTGCACCTATTTTTAAGGCCCTAGGCACTAGAAGTGTTTAGGTGCCTTGTTCTTCAGCTGGAGTTGAGTGCCCATTTTGACTCTTGAGCACCATTTGCCCAGGTAGGACTATAGCTCAAAGGACCAAGGTGGTTAAGAATCAAAATGGTCTCAGCGTAATTTTAGTTTCAGCCTTGGTTTTCTGAGCGACCAGGCAGAGGCCCTTGGGTCTAGGATTGCAGAAGCAGTTACTGCACTTGGGTCCCTCCATGTTCATTGCTCAGGACACCACAGGACTTAGCCTAACTTCTGTGAGCAAAAGGACTCAGCTGCTTTATGCCAGCAAAGTACATCTGAAGTCAAGGACAGTAGACAACAGCCTCTCACTAGTACTAAGCTAAGGAAGTGGAACAAGTTTCTCATCTTAAAAAAACCCACCATAAAACAACCTACCTTTAACAGTTAAAGTGGCTGTCGTTTGTTCGTTTCCATTATCACAGGTGTATTTGCCAGAGTCTTCTGGATTTAAATGATAAATCTTTAAGGTATGGATTGTTCCCTCCTGCCTGATTTCATACTTGGAGCTCGGGGAAATGACGTGGGTGCCCTTCTTCCACTGCACCGCAGCATGAGGCTGGGAGACCTCGCAGCGGAGGATGGCTGTTTCTTCCTCCTGCAGTTCTGTGCTCTGCAATTTCTCCTTAAAGACTGGAGGTGGCACTGAAATTACAAACACAGCAAAGGCATTTACAGTCACCTTTATCTTGTTTCCCTGCAGCATTAAGTCTACAGTTGAACAGTTAAGTATTAAAAAAATACTTTAACTTGTGTGTTATATATTGGAGGTTAAAACAAGTGAATGGATTTTGGATGAAACCCACTCACAAATATTTGATGGAGTTACTGAAGTGCTAATCAAAAATTTTACAGATATATTAACTGGTTCTGGTGGGATGGGGACTTTGACCAGACCAACAGCTCCAAAGAGGGAAGGAGAAGGATGTTTGACTGAGAATTTCTTCAAAACAGTGTCTACAGAAAGACTCCAAAGAAGGAAAAGAAAAAAAGAAAAGGGAAAGTGGAAGCAATGAAAATTGCAGGTCTGTCAGTCCACCCACTGGAGGTACCCCAGTAATTTCTCTAGAAACCAATTAGCTTCAGGACCGCAGTGACAACTCCACTGTCCTGCAGTGCTGACAGCATACGAGACCACATCAGCACGTCATGCATGCTCTGAAGCACGAGCACCCTACTAACAGGAGCTAACAAGGGGTGAATGACGGCCTTGAATGTGCTATTAGCATAAGCAAAATGTCACCTCTTCTCACCAGTCCTGTTCCTTTCCCACATCACAGTCAGCCCTTACCTTTTACTGTGAGCTCTGCTGTCGATGTGTGGGGTCCCACTCGGAAAGTGATGGTGCCAATGTCCTGCTCAGTCACCTTCCTTAATGTCAGGGTGTGAATCTTTCCCTTTTCCACTGAGATCTCATTCATTTCATTATTTTGCAGAGCTACATCCTGTAGCTTCCATTCAACATCCCTTGCATTTTCATGAGAAACCTTGCACTGAAACTTGACATCATCCCCTTCAAACACCACCGTGTCCTTTAGGCCACTCACAATGGTCACGTCAGGCTCTGCAAACAGTCCATCAGTAGTCAAGCCATGACAGGGAAAGCATGGATCAAAGCATAGAAACATTGAATAATAGAGGTTGGAGGGGACTTCTCAAGGTCATCTGTGGTCCAACCACTGCTCAAAGCAGGGCCAGCTTAAAACAGGTTGCTCAGTGCCTTGTCCAGCTAAGCTTTAAGTACCTCCAAGGATATCACAGCCTCTCAAATCATGTTTCAAACACTGCTGGTTCACTACTTTCAGTGTACTCGGTAACATGGCCAATGTCTTTCAGTTAGAGATTTTATCACTTGCCCTTTCTCACAGATACATTGCATACTGATTTTTTATTCCATGTTTGATATTGTAACTGGGTTAATAAGACATGAACGCCAGATGCCAAAATCAGGATTTTGAAATTTTGTTACATTTGCACTTAGATATCTTCACAGAAAAACATTTAAACCTGATCCCCTCTACTGTGTTTTTGCAAACAGAATCACATATTCTCCACGCTGGTGATCCAGACTGGCTGGGGATTGGGTTGGCTCTGTGCTCTCAGCAGGACTTACTGGATTAGTGTGAGCATGGCGTGTTCGAGCTTCAGTTTGCTCGAGTCTTGCTTCTAGGACAGCTGGGCACCTGCAGATCTGTGCCAAGATCATACAGCCTGCAACAGGCAGAAGCTGTGTGTACCCTGAATCTGCTGGGGAATACCAAAGGAGAAGCAGAGCAAGCTTCATCTGAGCAAACACAGTATGTATTCACACAACTGAGGTCACCATCTGCACGAAAAATGATGCAGTTGGGCATATCGTACAGAGTATCTATAATATTGAGTAGCCTGTAGAGATGCTAGCGGTGATTGTTCCACACTAGTGGTCCAACCTGAAAGCAAGCTCTGTCTGCAATGACATTAAGGCCAGATGCAGCTGCCATGTGACTGGAAGCTGGGGATAGACCATCTGTGCACTCACACACATAAGATGTCAAGCAAATACTTCAAGCTATGAGTCAAAAATTACAGCTGCCTTATCCTCTCCTGCCCACTAAGTGAATCTTGCTTTGGTGCATTCATTGACCATGAGATTTTTTATTATACCCTTCCTATGATCTGTGTTTATCACAATAGTTTAGCACAATGGTTTGTCATGATAGTAACAACTATGTCACAAAATCTTAGCATCCTAAAGTGAAAATCCCTTTGCCCCAGTAAATGGGTCTTGCCTTTCACTGTCAGTCTTGCAGAGGTTGTCTCATCTCCAGCCTTGCAGGAATACTCTCCAGCATCGCTAGGTTCCAAGCGATGAACACGCAGCTCACGGAGGGTGCCGTCCTGCCACATTTCATACTTGGAGCTCGAGTGAAGGACGACTCCATCTTTCCTCCACTCCACTTCTGCTTTGCTAATGGAAATCTCACAGCGCAGCCTGGCCGTTCCTCCCACTTCTACTTCTTCATTCTTCAGCTGCTGCTTCAGCCGGGGCTTGATGGCTGCAAAGTGAAAACAATTAATGCACGACTCATTAGCTTGAATGCCAGCTCTGGACAACTCAGCACAAGGCATCTGGTTTATGATGCTGCAGAACAAATTTGCATTAAGTGGTTATATGATAATAACAACCCTTTTTTCTCTATAAACAGACCTACATTCTGTATATCCAGACAAGGAGAGGATCAGAAAGTTCCCCAAATATGTTCGTTTCCCGTAAAATCGGGGGCATCCACATAACACTTTCTATACATCTGCTCTGGATATTGGAACTCCAACACGCATAAAGATTTTGGCTAAGCAAAACCTGGTACTTTCTCATTATAACAAATGTAAGTCTCTTCACTTTTATAGAAACACTCGTGACTTTCAACACAGTAAATGATGTAAAGTTTTAAACACATTTCTGATTTCTCTGCTGTCTTTTCAAGACCATAGACCGCGCACAGTGAGTCTTTCAGATGATACATAAACAAAATGACTGCATTTATTCAAGTGAGGCACAGAACAGCTCGGACAACAGCTTGTCACTGATTAAAACAAGCAGGGAATATCCATTGTGTGTGTGAGAGCAGTTGTGAAAACAGGACTCTCAGTGCTTGTAGTTCCTCTGTCTAAACCCTATTGTGATACATGTAAAGCAAGCACAGGGCACTTCCACTTGTGGCTGACCCAGCAGCTGCTTTGTGGGTCAAGTTCAGCCAAGAGGATGCATCTTGAAATGTTGTGGCTTAGATCAAAGCCACAAGTTCCACCCAACAGTTTGAGACGACCGCAAACATTGGACATATAGTGATTAGGCACAGACATTATCCCTGGTTTGTTTTAACAGTGTTCTCAGGATCTTCATGGAAGGGCATTACAAAAATTGAAAATAGTAATTTTTCTAAATGCTTTTGTAAATGACTTATGATTAGTTATTGATTCAACTGAACCAGCAATGAATGCAAAGTGCCAAAAATAAAGATCTATTAGAATTTCAAAATCTCCAAGACGCAGAATTTCTTGCTTTTATCACACCAGAGGAAGGGGTCATTACACTGTGCAATGTGTTTTATGGGCTTAAATAGCCCTTCTACAAACCCTGTCCTACAAGATCTACTTTTCTCTATTCTGGTTTATGACTGAGCATCTGCTTTCCTTGCTGTCTTAACTTTTGGTGGAGTTTATTCATCAATAAATAAAATAATATCATTCACACAATTTCACAAATCCCTCCTATCCTCTGTTCTATTTTGGTTCAATGCTAACCATTCACTCTGAGGACTGCTGTGCTCTGCTGGTCTCCTGTATCACATGTGTAATCAGAGGCATCTTCTGGTTCTACATCATGAATCACAAGTTCAGCTGTGCGACCACTTAATTTAATTTCATATTTGGCGCACGGGAAAAGCTCCATGGTGCCTTTCCTCCACTCCACCGTTGCATCATCCTTTGTCAGCTCACACTGGAATTTCACTGCAGCTCCTTCTTCAGCCTCCTTGTCCTTGAGCTCCTTTTTGAAAAGAACTGGCAGAGCTAAAGGGAAAAAAAAGAAGGAACACAGGAGCTTTTATTGAAGCCTGAGTCAAGTTCTGGTTATCACAGTCAGACTGACACTTCAGGGAACAAGACACTGTGCTTTGCAAGTGCAGTATTCCTAGGCAGGATCCATGTTTTCTAATTTGCCTGGAGCTCTAGGCGATCTTGCTGTGTCAGAAGCAGCCATCAGCTCGTACAGCATTTATTTCCTTTGTTCCTTGACTCACATCCTTCCCAGGCTTAAATTCTTTGAATGAATTTATCCTTCAGTTGATCTAACAAAGATCTCTAGAGTAAAGAAGTTGAAATCTCTATGTCAGCCTTGACAGATCAGGAAGGTTGTTGTCAGTGCTCTTCCAGGATTTGGAAGAAAATCTTTTTTAAAATATTTAAGCCACATATCAGGTCCATTGTCCCGACATGTTAAAGCATTGCTCTTTCGTTAATTTCTTCCCAGCCATAAAACTGGAAAGTATTTCTTCAAAGAACCCAAGACTCAAATGCAGTCTGGAAGAACAAAGTATCATCCTCTTCTGTTCTCATTAAAAAAAAAATAAAAATCCTAATACGTCAGATGAAAAGGAAACTATTTATAGGGAAAATAATAATGTATTTCAAAATAGTCCCATTTAAAACCTTGCTTTGCATGTTTGAGGGAATCTATTGCTTTAGGATTCAGCTCACCCCACCTACCTTTAACATGCAAATATGCCTTGGTTTCCTGATCCCCAGTATCACAGCTGTATTCTCCTGTATCTTCTAATTTGAGATTATGTATTAAGAGCTCTACCCGGCATTCCCTCTGCCTCATTTCATGCTTCTGGCTGGGCTGCAGCCCCACTCCTCCTTTCCTCCACTCCACTGCAGCGTTGGGTTTTGACAGCTCACAGCAGAGTTTAGCTGTACTTCCTTCCTCTGATTCCTTATTTTGTAGAGGTTGCTTAAATGTGACAGGAAGTGCTGCAAAATTTGAGAAGAAAATATTTTCAGAGTATTTTATTCTGGAAAGGACCCAATTCTATCTTAATTCTTCAGAAATGGCCTAGTCTAATGATTCCACAATCATTGGGCTGCAACCCTCTGTCTTGGTAGCACGTTTCTTGAGCCATTACGTGAACCAAGAGCTGAGTACAGATGGCGAGAGCTGGTTTTACGGAGTAGTCCACAGAATGGCCTAGTCTGTGGTCTGAAGGAGTCAGACTTTCCTACAGAAGTATATCCATGCAAACTAGGGATGCTTTAGTCAAAGACCACTGGGACACAGTGGGGCATGGACCCTTGTTCCTTAGCAGAGGTCTGTGAGTTTAGAATATTAATCTAAGAATATTTTTCCCCCAAATAAAGCTTCTATCAACATACAAAATACCAAGTTAGCATTCAAAACACAAGGCAATGCAATACAGTAAGAGACGATGACAGACTGATAAATGGAAGAGGAAATTCAGATTCCTGGCAAGAAGGGGCTGAAGAAAACAGATGCACTCAGTATTTACAGCCGAGTCTCAAGGCCTCAAATAATAATACAGCACATTCACATGTTATAGAAATCCTTTATCCACAAACTGTGGCATCTCTTATCATTCTAATCAGGCATTACACCTAACTGGGCATACCTTATGCCTGCTGAAGCAATCAACAACCCAAAATCACAATCAGCCTGCCTGGGTTATTTTCTGTTATCCATTCCCATATGCAGCCACACTACCTGGACTGAAAAGGCAGGAGGCTTCATCATATTTTGACATCATGGCAACATTTAATTGCCTTGATAATGATTAATCACTCCAGATACCACAAGCAGAACCTTTCTAACTTGACCATGTGTCATGCTCAAGTAGAATATGTATGCTGGCATGGACCAGCAGCAAAACAAATAAATGGCTGTAGGGAACACCAAGACAAGCTCCGTTCACTTCACCTCTACTGAGCCAAGGGTGAGTGCTCTGCCTACCATGTACAGTTACCACAGCCGTTGTCTGCTGATGTCCAGAGTCGCAGGTGTACTTTCCTGAATCATCCAGTTCTAAGTCACAAATGACCAATTCAGCAGTGGAGCCCTGCTGTTTCATCTCATATTTCAAACCAGGGTAGAGAGTAGTATCTCCTTTCCTCCACTCTACTGTAGCTTTGGGCTTGGTAAGCTCACACCTCAGTGTTGCTGTACCTCCTTCTTCTGCCTCGGAATTCTGAAGCTCTTGTTTAAAAAGTGCTGGTAGGGCTATAAAATAGAAATATAACTTGCAACATACTGCTGCTGGAGTTTGTGAAAGTAGAAAGAAAATGAAAGCACCAAAAAAGTATTTTTGCAGATGTCTCTAAACCTCAATGCTCCAGATTCAAAGTACAAGGCTATTTCCCAGAGAAATAATAGGAATATCTGCAGAACAAGAAGGAATATTTTTGAAGATGTTATATTTGCCATGTAGTATATAGAAGCTTAATCTAATCTATGATCTAAAAATGGCAGAATATCTTTCCTACTATATAATTAGCTAGCACGTTGTCCTGATCACAGAGGAAAAGATCTGAAGGTCAGCAGTAAGTTGTAAGTGTTCAGATTCCCTCTTAAGGCAGGCCACTTGTAGGAGAGATTACAATGATCCTGGAAGTAACACACTGACAAAACACATTTACTCTTGTATTGCAACTCCCATTTTCTACCTGGTCACTCTGCTGGGCTGTTTAGACCATGCTATTTTGCACACCTTCCTTAGGAATGATAGATAAGTCTTCTCCGTAAGTGACACTAACATACAGCTTCTGTTTTTAGAATATATTATAACCTTTTCCTTTTTTTCCCCCTTTTTTTTAATTTATTTTTTTTACCATTGACTGTCAAAGTGGCAGTTGTCTGCTGATCTCCACACACACAGCTGTAATCTCCAGTGTCCTCCACATCCAGCTCATGGATAATCAGCTTTGCGACAGCACCATCTTGACTCATTTTATATTTGCTGCTTGCTTTGAGCACCTCCTGCCCTCTCTTCCACTCCACCGCAGCAGGTTTAGTCAGCTCACAGTGCAGAGTGGCTGTCCCACTTTCTGCAGCTTCTAAGTCCTTCAGGTCTTTTTTGAATTTTGGAGGCAGTGCTGAAGATAAAAAAAGTTACCACAGAGACAATGAATATTCCCTAAAAAGCAGCTAGATGACATCCTGGGGGAGAGGATGCATGGTGCACTACTGAGCCCTGATCCAGGTCAGCAGAACACAACGGAAAAAATCTCCCTTGATTTCCCTGGACTCTGCATCAGGGCAAGGAATGTGAGAAGTACCAGCACAGCTGAGGAGGACAAACACCAAAAGGCAACCCTTTTCCCAATTCTAACAGAAGAAGGAAGAGCATTAGCAAACTCCAAATGAACACAAAAGGCCAAGCAAACAGAAAGGGAATGGGAACAGACCATAGCAATGGAGACTCGGGCAGGTCTAAGGTTTGGAGGACCTTAGTCCCAAGAATTACTTTACCATGCACTGTTAAGGCAGCTGTGGTGGTCTTGTCTCCACAAACACAGGTATAATCTCCAGTGTCATTCAAGTCTAAATCGTGAACTACCAGCTCCACAACACAGCCTTCCTGTCTCATGCTGTGCTTGTTGCCTGGGGTGAGGACGTGATGGCCCTTCTTCCACTGAACATGGGCAGATGCCTTGCTGAGCTCGCAGTGCAAAGTGACCGTTCCACCTTCTACCGCTTCCTTACTGGTCATTTCTTCTTGGAAAAATGGAGGCATAGCTGAAGGATGTAGGTAAAAAATATTACAAACTGAGGATATCTCCAGGGATCGGTGAGGGTAGGAAGTGACAGGGGAAAGTTGTGATGGTTATAGAAGGTTGAGCATCAGAAGGAAAGAGAGGAAAGAGAAATGAAAACATTCTAGTGGGAATATATACCCCGAACCTTTGGTTTTATACTGGCTTCCTACTAGCAAAATTGCACGGTCCTCAAGAGATTTACACCTGCTTTCTACCAGTTTCCCTGTAACAAGAACTAATAATATAATCTCTGATCCCCTTAATTCACACGTGTTTATGTCTTCCACAAACTTCATGCCTTTGTACTCTCTTTTCCTACTTACAGAGGCCTCCTGCTGAGCTCTGAGTGTTGGCAGAGCTCCTTGCTCATCATCATTCCTTCTTCCTTGAGGTGCCCTTGAAAACATGCAGCCAGAGATCACAGACTCCTCTTGACCTCAAATAAAATCTCCACGTGCTGAATTCCAACCTATTTTCATGTCTCAGAACATATTTTCCCCACTTTTATTTCCTTGAAATAAATTTAATAACCTTAAAGTACGTCCCTCTATTAACTAGGTGGGATAATGGGGTATTCCACCTCCTTAACATGGTTGCATAGCTCATATCTCAAACTTGATGACTCACTCTATAGCAGTGGAGCCAAGTTAAAATATCCAGCCTAGAAGCCAGGTTTAGCCTCCTTGATTGTGCACACTTCCCATCTCCGGCAGTGTTAAGCTGAAACACCAGTTTTGTTTGCGCAGCAACTGGTTCTTGCAATAAAGTAAGACCAGAAGGAGGTCACAGGAAGAATTTATTCGTTTCTGCTTAGAAGATCAGACTCCCAGTGCAAACCGATCTTTGTGCATTAGAACAGTGGTTATGGGCACAAAAACCGATATAAACATAACTCGGCACAGAATGAATTGTAATTAATACACCCTTATTCTGGATACTGCTTTTTATACCCTGTACCACATCAAAATGGTAGGTGTTGAGAAAGCCAGAAAGGAACGGCAAAGAATAAACAGATTTAGAAAAGAAATGCAGGAAAGGAAAGATAAAAGGATAGTGGGTTTATATGCTAGGAAAGGAATGTCAGAAGGGAAAGATGAAAGGACAACAGGTTTGTGTTTCAGGAAAGGAAAAGACAATGGATGGCACAGGAAAATATAGACCGTGATTTTCCAATATACACAGCCTGCAGGTCATCAAAGACAGGGAATACTATTTCAAGTGAATGGAACTTTGGTTAATAAGGTTGAATGAACAGACGTGGAAAAATGAACACCTGAGTAGAGGACAGATGTTTCCAGTTAGGAAATAGGAGGTCAAGATAATTTTTACCCTTTACTGTTACGACAGCTGTAGTCTGGTGCTCTCCACACACACAGGTGTAGTCTCCTGCATCCGCCTCAGCTATTTCACGAATCACCAGCTCTGCCTTGGTCCCTTCCTGCCTCATTTTGTATTTCTCACTTGCTTTGAGCATCCTGTGGTCCTTCTGCCACTCCACTGGAGCAGCCTTGGTGAGCTCACAGTGCAGGGTGACTTCTCCACCTTCTTCTGCTTCCTTGTTCTTTAGCCCTTCCTTAAAGAGCGGTGGCAGAGCTGAAGGATGCAACATGGACAAATGGTCATCAGAAAACCAGAATTAAAATCCTGATTTATTTCTCTTGCCTGGGATTATTTTCCCTTATGCCTCCCTTTTTCAGCCTATTATAAACATACTTAGCTATAGCCAAGTTCAGAAATTCTAAGAGTATCCTTCTTCAAGTGTGATGTGATTTCACTTCATGCAAGGGATCAGTTCCCTGGGTGTCTGTTGGTTTTCACGGTGAAAGAACAATACAGAAAGATTCAGATCTTGAGTCAACAGCACTCACAGATAACAATTCTGGATACAGTACAGTTTTACCTACACATTGTTATTTTCTGGTTTGTTTTTACTAAAAACTTCTAGCCCTACCTACACGAAAGCAGACAGATTTCAAAATAAAACTACTTCTACTTTTAAATAGAAGGGCCATTACATGTAATAAGAAATTCAGTTTCTCAGTTCTCACCGTTTCCCATTTTGGAAATCAAAACCCAAATACAGAACAACCTATAGGAAACTACCTTCAGGAAAACTAATTATTAACATTTACCCACAAATTTGCCTTGTGCACAACCACCGTAAGCAGGTACAGAACACAAACAGTAGTCCCCAAATGCCTCAGAAAAGTCCGTATCTCAGGAAAGGTGGAGGGGAGTCAGAAGGTTTTGGAAAAAAGCTGGAGAGGACAGAAATGGGTCTCTTTTACCAGGTAAGTTCCTGAGAGCCAAGGACTGCTACTCCATTAAAACGGATACTCATTAATGAGAGGAGAGCAGAACGTCAGGTGATGAGATTATTAACATAACACACGGATTTATTTCCGGATTGGTTAGTGGGAGCTAGCAGGATAAAGAAGACTATAGCTGCTGATAATCTGTGTTGTTGGGTTTTTTTTAAATACCTAACTGTCACGGTAGTCCTGATCCCCACACAGACATGTAGACCCCTGCATCCTTCAAACCTAAATTACAGAATCACAGAATGGTAGGGGTTGGAAGGGACGTCTGTGGGTCATCTAGTCCAACCTCGCACCGAAGCAGGGTCACCCAGAGCAGGCTGCACAGGACCTTGTCCAGGCGGGTCTTGAATATCTCCAGAAAAGGAGACTCCACAACCTCCCTGGGCAGCCTGTTCCAGTGCTCTGTCACCCTCAGAGGGAAGAAATTCTTCCTCATGTTCAGACGGAACTTCCTCTGCTTCAGCTTGTGCCCACTGCCCCTTGTCCTGTCGCTGGGCACTACTGAAAAGAGCTTGGCCCCATCCTCGACACCCACCCTTCAGATATTTGTAAGTATATATTAGGTCCCCTCTCAGCCTTCTCTGCTTCAGGCTGAACAAGCCCAGCTCCCTCAGCCTCTCCTCGTAGGAGAGATGTTCCAGTCCCCTCATCACCCTCGTAGCCCTGCGCTGGATTCTCTCCAGTAACTCTTCATCTTTCTTGAACTGGGGAGCCCAGAACTGGACAGAGTACTCCAGATGAGGCCTCACTAAGGCAGTGTAGAGGAGAAGGAGAACCTCCCTCGACCTGCTGGCCACACTCCTCCTTATGCATCCCAGAATGCCATTGGCCTTCTTGGCAGCCAGGGCACACTGCTGGCTCATGGTTAACCTGTCGTCCACCAGGACACCCAGGTCCCTCTCCGCAGAGCTGCTCTCCAGCAGGTCCACCCCAAGCCCGTACAAGCGTAACAAGCTCTGAAACGGTAACACTTCTCTTGTTCTGCATATCTGACCTGCTTAAAGAATCTGGTACCCCCAGAAGCAGCTGTGGCCAGGTCACACAACACAGTCACATCTCCTCCTCCTTCTGCTGCCCCAACTCTCACTTCTCCTTTGAGCAGTGCTCGGAGATCAGAGGGCCTGACAGACCATACAGGTGCGTTTTGGAGAAAACTGTGGTTGGCTGAAGTGAACCACTGGGATGAAGGGGGGTAGGAAAGGGCTGGAAGATGTAAATATACAAGAGGAGGAGACTTGGACAGAAAGAAACATCTCATTTTCTCCTTTTAAAGGGGACAGATTAATAATGACCTAAAAATTTGCCCTGAGCTATTTGTTCTCAGTAAGAAAAGAGTTAATCATAGAATGAAGGAAGAGAAAGGGATAAAAACAAAGACACATTGTTGATTCAGGGCAGAAACAACTGAATTTCAGGGTGATGTCTATCTACAGAGCTATTCAAAAATTTTAATAAGTTCTTTTTACCATGGACTGTTAAGGTTGCTGTTGTCTTCTGGTCACCACACACACAGGTGTAATCTCCAGCATCTTTTACTTCTAGGTCACAAATGACCAGCTCTGCAGTGGTGCCAGGCTGTCTCATCTGATATTTGTCACTTGCTTTGAGCACTTTGGACCCTATTTTCCATTGCACTGGAGCTGCTTTGGTTAATTTACAATGCAGAGAGACTGATGCTCCTTCTAGGACTTCTTCATTCTTCAGTTCTTCCTTGAAAACCACCGGCAGGGCTGGGAATGGAAAGTCAATAGATAGCATATTTAAACTAAGACTTCTGCACTTGCGATCAGCATCATGAATTCTCAACTGAAGTTCAAATCCGGCCAAGTCAGGGTCTTTGGCCATTGAGGCTGAGGCTACCACTACAATGATCTGGAAAACTATATGCAGCAGTGACAGTAAGAAAATAATTGTGGAGCTGACAGGTCAAAGGCTGGATTGGATTCAAGATGCAATCTACAGAATTTATCACAGTGCCACCCTCCATGGGGGCAGGACATCTCAGCTGGTCTAACAGGAGCATTTCCTAGGTGCTATTCCGTTAGACTTACAACATAGCAGCTTGGCTGCGTGGCGAAATAGTCATGTGCTCAGCTCCCTTATCAGGAACACCAGACCAAAATTAAGTGTCAGAACACAAAGTTCTCCTTTCCTGAACGCAAATTCATTCCTAGGGAAAAGCTGATAGGCGAACACTTCGTACAGCAACAGGATGTTTCAGAGAAACAAAAAATGAACAGTCATCTGCAAGATGAGTTTACCATTCACTATCAGAGAAGCGGTGGTGTGTTGGTCTCGACACACACAGGTGTAATCTCCCGCATCCTGCAGCTCTAGATCACAAATTTCCAGCTCAGCAAGAGCATTATCCTGCCGCATGATGTATTTCTCACTTGCCCTGAGTATTTTATTTCCTTTCTTCCACGACACAGCTGCAGCCTTGGTCAGCTCACAGCGCAGAGTGGCTGTTTGGCTTTCCATGGCTTGCAGGTCCTTCAGTTCTTCTTTGAAAAGCACAGGCAGGGCTGAAGGTCACAAAACAGGCAGAGGACATTAGAAATGACATGTGGCACAGAGGTGATGGCAGTGTGGGGGGGAAGGTACAGAAACAGAGAACATTTTAACATGGAAAGTGTTTCCTTTCCCCCATAATTCTGGGACATTGGGCAAAGCATTAGACGGGAACAGAAAAGCCACCTGGATGCAACCAGGTCTTAGAGACAGCTTAGAAATTTAAAGAAACAAATTCAGCCACAAGTGAACACACAACCAATAGCCACGAGCTGGTAAAGAAAAACACAATAATACAGATATATGTATATGTTTTTTACCATGCACTATCAAGGCAGCTGTTGTCTTATGTTCTCCACACACACATGTGTATTGTCCAGCATCTTTCAACTCTACGTCATGGATAAGCAGCTTCATGACCGTGCCCTCCTGTCTCATTTTGTATTTGTCGCTGAGTTTGAGCACACTGCTTCCCTTTCTCCACTCTACTTGAGCAACTTTGGTCAGCTCGCAGCGCAGAGTGGCTGCTTGACCTTCTGTTACCTCCTCATCCTTCAGGCTGTCCTTGATGCGTGCAGGTAGCGCTGTGGATGCAATGAACAGAGGGTTAAAATGGAGCTGTAAACGCAGCCTCCTGGTGAAGGGCAGGGCTGGGGGAAGGAAAGACGAGCTGTCTTTGGGCCTGATCTCACATCTACTTTAGGCATCAGATCTTAAAACCACTTTGTATATGGAATTGGGGGAAGATTTTTCCCTTAGATCACAAAACGCAAATGAATTCTCATGACTATGACATGTCAAGTCAGACTCTGAGGAACCATGCAGAAATAACAATGAACACAGAGAAAAAATGAACTCAAACCAAAAGCTCGATAACGAGGACATCTCGATGAAATTGGTTATTACCGTGTACTGCTAAGGAAGCTGTGGACTGCTTATCCCCACACACGCAGGTATAATCACCAGCATCACTTTCATTTAGATTATGGATCACCAGTTCTGCAGTGACATCCTTCTGCTTCATTTTGTATTTCTCACTAGGTTTGAGTACTGTGTGTCCTTTTTTCCACTCCACTGAAGCGGTCTTGGTCAGCTCACAGCGTAGAGTGACTACTTCACCCTCCATGGCTTCCTCATTTCTTAACTCTTCTTTGAAGAGAGCAGGAAGGGCTGAGAAACAGAGGAGCAAACATTTTCATGACAAGCAGTTCTTGGCCACCAAAAAGAATGAACCTGATGTTTACTAATATCTATCCATGCCCAGTTATTGACATGAGCATCATCTCATAGAAGGAAGGTATGATAGACACAAAAGGGTCTTATACCGTAGGTAAATTTGCTGATTGGTTTAGAGATGTATGGAGAACAAACAGTAGGAATGGGAAAACTTCATGTAGGGTCAGAACTGCAACTTTCTCAGTGTAATTCAGCCTGGGAAACTGATACGGTAGGTTACACCATGATCACAAAAAAAACTGAAGGAAAAAATGAAAAGGTTTTACCTTACCTGTTAGGGATGCCTATGGACCTAGCCTGAGAGTTATAATGAGGCTGAAAAGCAGAGTCAAAGAGTTCCCTTGAAAGTGCTTGGGTAACAATAAAAGGAAAAAGAAGGACGATGTCTCTATTGTGGAAGTTTGCTAGAAGACCTTCACACCAGGAAGTTCAGGTGAATCATAACACCCCACCCCCTTGGGAACAACTAATAGTCTTTCAGAGCATAAGACTGAAGGGTAATGGGGTAACATGTACTGTGGGAGCAGTAGGATGGGACAATGCCTGCTAAGACTCTGGAATGGGGTGGGAAACACTTTTGGATGTAGGATATGAAATAACAGGAGAGAATGGTCTCCAATTTCTGACCAGCAAGTAATAAATCTTTAAGGATACAGATGTGGAGGATAATTGGGCAGACACCGATTTTGAAGCAGGAGAGCTCACGAATTTTACGACAAGTAATGATGGAGAAGAGCAAAAGGAAATTCTGTGGGCAACAAGAAAGCAAGCTTCACTAATTCAAGAACTGTTACTTATGATCAAGCAGAAGCAAACTTCAAGAACAAGGCAGTTTAAAAGAGTGGAAAACTTCCCAAAGAAACAATGTTAAGGGCATAATTACAGAGACTACCTCACTCCAAGGATAATCAGGAATAGCCTGCCTAAATCACAAATTCTTCGATGTCTGAAACTCAAGACACCTATGAAATACGGGAGGTTTAGGTGAGTGCAAATGAAATATTACAGCATATAGAGGCAAAATCAGAAATGCCAGTGTCCCTGCATGTCTCAAGAAGGTCAAGGGCAGTTTCCCATTCCTGGACTCTGTCAGCTCATGGACAAAGAGACCAACATGAAAGAGGGGCTGAAAGCTAGTCTGCAAAATGATGCTGATATCAAATGTCTCCCGACACAGCTGTATGCTGTATGTATTTGTATCTGGCAACTGGGTGGTGAGATCAGTACTCCATGTCCTCTGCTCACAGTCCAACTTGAGGCTCTTGGCTGTATCAGAATATTAGCATACAAATCCCAGGAAACCTGGCTAGCCTGAACTAGGAAGAAGCAGGAATAATACATTCTGTAGGTAGACTGGAAGGAAGAAAAACAAGGGAGAAGTTTGTCTATCAGTCCTCAGGAATGTAGATTTATGGTAGGTAATGTGGGGACAGCTGAAGTGTTTAATTCATTTTTCTTCTTTAAAATTAAAAGTTAATGATAGCTAAGAAAGTAATAGAAATTCTGGCTAGGATAAGAAAAAATGGATTAGGGAACATTTAAATAAACTGAATATTCTCACAGCACCTTGGCATGATGAAATTTGTCATGGAATACTTCAGGCTCAACCAGTATCAGTAACAGTTACATCGGAGAAATCAAAGAGAATGGGTGATGTTCCACAAGTATAGAAAAAAGTGGAAATTCAGAGGTGGAAAAGGTCTCACAGATTGAAATGCACATGTTGAGTTCTTGCCATGTAAAGCAAGAGTCTAAGCTCTCAGGACAGTCAAGAAAGATCCAGACAAAGTCAACGGAGCCAACGGAGCTACCTGCTGACCAAATGTAAATGTCTGCTATATGGCGAACTGGATGTCTCCCTGGCTTGCATTGACTGTGTTGATTCGATCTCCATTGACAACAGTGGGAATTTGGGAACACTCACCAGTCTTGACCTACGTGCTGAATCCCCTTCACAGTGCTTGTCTTGGAAAAAGGAAGACGACGGGTGCAACAGAGAGAGGATCCAAGGAATTATAGCCATTTCAACTTAGCTTTAATTGTCTGACAAATATTGTAGCAATACCCTTGGACTTGCCAAGAGCTTTTCTCTTCAGGAACCAGTGCAATTTTTCTTAATGTGGGTTAATAAGCTTCACTGATAGAAAAACACAGTACAAGCTGTACACTTATTTCATGAAAACTTACAGTCTTAGGTATAGGTGGAACTACAGTGGGAAGCACCACCAGTTTGAAAATCACAGTGAAAGAATGAATATTCAACTGTGATTTAGACTCACAATGAAAGAATGAGTTGAGCAGAGTTGCTCAATACTCTGCAGTCCAGTATTATTTAGCGTTTTCTTTAGTGACTTGGAGAATGAAATGCAGTCATTAACTTTGCAGATCATCTCAAGCTGGGAAAGGAGAGAAGCTGAAAGCGCTTTGTTAAACAGGATTAGGGTACACAAGATCTTGATGAAGCAGTGGTGAAAAAAATAGGCTAAAATTCAGCAAAAGCAAGTGCAAAATACTATATTTAGGAACAAACACCAACATAAATACAAGATAGGGAACAACAGGCAGCAGATCTGCAGAGAGATTTTAGGTTACAAGGGATCATGGAGTAAATGCAAGTCAAAAAATGCAATTCTGATGTGAATAAAGCAAACATCATAATAGGGATATGTAAAATGGAGTGTCATATGCAAAAGACACAAAGTCCTTCCATCCTACTCCAGTCTGGCAAAGCCTCAGATGGAGCACCGTAGTCTGCTTTTGGCCACCACACTTCTAGAAAGATGTGGATTAACTGAAGGTGGTCCAGAAAGCAACAACGATGAGCTGAAGTCTAGAAAACATGACCTATGAAGAAAGAGTGAAAGGATTGAAGGTGCTTAGTCCAGAAAAGAGAAGGCAGAAAGGAGACATGAAATAAGTTATCAAAGCTTTCACAGAGAGGAAAATAGCAAATATTTCTCCATTTCTACAGGACATGGGACAAGAAGTAATGACTTAAGCCAGCTTGAGACAGGCTTTTGTTGACATTAGGAACTTTCTGGCAGTATTGAAGGCTAGGCAGTGGAATGAATGTCCAAGGGAACTGCAAATTCTTCAGCACTGGTGTGACGCTAGGTAGGCGTGATGGTGACTTGGGGCTTAAGGATGGACTAGAAGACCTGTACAGGTCCTTTCCAATTTTCTTTTCCATGGTTAAATTGGAATTTCAAGACTGAATCCATCCTCATTTTTTTGGTAAATATCAAGGTGAAAAAATCTGGGCAGTAAAAAGAAATCAACTCATTCACCTACTGAATTTCCAGGCGATAAAGATGACTGAAACTACTTCTTAATGTCCCATGTTAAGAGTGGAAACAAAGTTTCCCTCTCTTCCAAGGAATGTTTTCAGATGAATTTGACCGAAGACTATGAAGTACTCTCACATTATAATGCTGACTATTCTGCAATACCAGAATACAAATGTACATAATCCTTGGTCAGTTACATAAAAAAAAGTTGCACTGAATCAAGTTTTGTTTGCCTTCTTTAAAATTGTCTAGAAAATCCTAAATGTAACTTGAAATCCAAGATCACTCTTTTTAAGCAGTATGAATGTTCCTGCTGTGCCAACTCTCTAGGCTCAAGTCAAAAGTAAGTAAAACAGAATGAAAAATGTCAGCACATGGGATCCTTCAGCCTTCAGTGTGCTGCAAAGCAGTGTAGCCGTGCACCAACAAAAGCAAGGAGAAGCAAACAGGTAAAATTTTAGTATAATCAATTGAATGACAATGCTAATTAGAATTAGATAAAAATCACAATAAAAACAAGAAAATCTGTTACCAACAGAATTAATGATTGCAAGATTAGAGAAAGAACTCATTGCATGTCAGTAGTGAGGTTTCCAGAGGAGAGAGGAGAAACATCACACAAAAATTTCTCATTTCTGTTTTCTTTACCATGCACTGTCAGTGCTGCAGTAGTCTTCACTTCTCCACATACACAGGTGTACTCCCCGGCATCCTTGACTTCCAAAGCATGGATCAGCAGTTGTGCTGTAGTACCTTCCTGTCTCATAGTATATTTTTCACTTGATTTGAGCACTTTGTGTTTCTTTTTCCACTCCACAGAGGCAGCCCTAGATAGCTCACATTGCAGCGTGGCTGTTCCACCTTCTGTGGCTGCTTCATTCTTCATCTCTTTCTTGAAGTGTGCAGGCAAGGCTGAGGAGTTCGAAGAGCGGAATTTATGACCATGACAGCTATTCAAGCAACAATTTATCTATGGTCTGTCAACACTCGTGACAAGAAAAGCCTTCGCTAATCAAGTAGGATTGGTAACCACTCTGAGACCCATAAAACAGTGACTTTGGAAAGCTGGGAAACACCTTATTCAGAAGTCAGAGATTTTTTTACAGTATGGTCTGTAGCATGAAATGGAGAACCACACCACTCAGCTTCTTCAGACCCTGCAAGACTGAGCCCTACCTGTCTTTGTGTATAACCTACTACAGTGGAAAACAAAGCCTAACAAGAGTGTCTAAGTTCTATCACAATGCAAATCATTGCTAAAAAAGTTCATAAAGGAAACTATATCTGAGGCATCGATCTTACTTTTCCTTGAGATTTCTCCTCAGGTAGTGGTCTAGCAGAATTTGACCGCCAAATGATTCTGAAACACTGAAAACTGTGTCAAAAATATCTCATAACCAAATTGTAATATTGTCATCTTCAGGATTGTAACATATTTACAACCAACATCACACTAACGTGATTTTCCTTTTTTAGCAACTACTACTGAACATGATCAAAGAAACAAATTAGTACAAAGAAGAATATCTGAAATTTTTGCAATGAACACCTCATCTCGGCCTGATACTAAATCCATCAGAAACAGGGCTGCAAGTTCAAAGCTGATACTACTGTGTTCTTAAAAAAACAGGTGGTTGAAAATAATCCACTTAATATTTTTTAAACCTTTTTTTACCATTCACTTTTAGTGCAGCGGTGGTTTTCTGATCTCCGTAACAGCACGTGTAATCTCCAGCATCTGTCAGATCTAAATCACGGATCACCAGCTCAGCAATTGCGCCCTCGCATCTCATGGTGAACTTCGCATTTGTTTCCAGGGCTCTGTCTCCTTTCCTCCATTCCACGGCAGCTGCAGACTTGTTCAGCTCGCAGCAGAAAGTGGCTGTGCCGTTTTCTGTGGCTTCCACATTCTTCAACTCTTTTTTAAAATGCGGAGGAAGGGCTGAAGATCATAGGTGAAGAGAGAGCACTTTAAAACTGAGGAAATACCGTGTCTTGACTGCTCCACTGGATTGAAACCCTTTGATCTCCAAAAGTTTTAGAATATACAGCACTTGAGAGGCAAATGGTGATTTCAGGGGCATCCCTGCCTTGTGCTTTGCAACACACCACATTCAGCATGTCACAACTGATTTGGAAATCAGTGTTGTAAAACTGTAATTTCAATACTGAAAAGCATGATTAAAGGAATTTTCAGATATGAATAACAGAAAGATGACCCCAGGCTTTCAAGGAAATAGGCATAGCTCCCTCTTATGATCAGATGAATAATTAAAATGAACTCTATATATTTTTAATTTCCAGGCTCCAATGTATCCTTCTTACCTGCCTTTCTCATTTATTATCTTAACAGAGCACCTTCTACTCCATTCAAGAAAAACAAGTGAAATCTCAGTGATATGCCTGGAGAAATTAATTAATGGAAATACTGAAAGGGCTATTTATGACTTCACCAAGGTCTTCATTATCTGCTTTCAGATTCCATTAATATGAAAGAACAGGACAGAAAAGACTGTATGGTGCTATTTATCAGTCCAAAGTGAAGGACTTTCCATAAAAGATATTCCCAGTGGTTGATAGAGCTGCCATAATTTAAAATAATAGATGGGCTCAAGACCAGTTTGTGATCCTGCATGAGATAACAGATGACAAAGCAGAAAATCCCTATTAAACTTATGCATTTTACCATGCACTGTCAGGGATGCAGCAGTCATCTTGTCTCCGCACACACACGTGTAATCTCCTGCATCTTCTTCCTCCAGGCTATGGATTGTCAGCTCAGCAATGGTATCCTTCAGTCTCATTTTGTACTTCTCACTAGGCTTGAGCACCTTTTGCCCTTTCCTCCACTCCACCGGAGTGGGTTTAGTTAGCTCACACTGCAGAACAGCCGTCCCGTTTTCTGTGGCTTCCAAATTGACAAGTTCTTTTTTGAACAGTGCAGGCAAAGCTATGGGATGTAACATAAACAGAGAGTACATCAAAACCATTAACCCAGACCTTGAGGAACTTAGGACTAGGTCCTGAGTCCAGTCCTTCACTATTACAGGAAAACAAATCATAGTGTCTTGAAAATTGCAGCTATTAGAAAACTGCTGCAGGATCTCACAGGGATAATCACCACCCTGACTTGCTTCTAAAATTGACTCATGCAGCACATGCACCGTGTCCCAGCTGATTCCAGCAGTTCTCCCTACCTATTTCAGTCTGAAATCATCTATCTTGAACATTAATGACCTGACTTCTGATGAAAAGTCATCACCGTGGATGATGACACTGCTAGCTGGAGATCGCTGTGTTTCCTGACACCATAATTTATCTTTCTGGTTCAGAAAAAAAATTCCTAATATAACTTCATGTGCACCTCTAGGCCATAATTTTCAAGGACATAATGGCTCTAATAGCAGGAATACAGGATTTTTTTGGCAACATTTAGCACGTTGCCTTTTGGCATGCAACCAAAGTAAAAAGGAAGAGACTTGCACAGGGAAGAAAGTGCCAGCTCAGAGGAGGGGAGGAACAGAAGTGCCTCTAGCTGGGATAAAGAAGAGGAAGTAAAAGTGTGCAGAATATCTGAGAGAAGAGAGTTTTAACTCTACAGTTTTGCCCCTGTCCTTAGACTCATCTTATACTTAAGATAGATCTCAAATAAAAACTGTTCTTTCATCTATTGGAACTACGTATGAACTATTTCCACTGGAGGGGGCAATCGAAGCTTGTCCCTATTCACCATGGCAAAGACAGGAACAAAATCTGTCTCGCTACTCCATAAATCAGGACCTGTGAAATAATGGTCTGGGGGATTTTTTTTTTATTTGAAAATACCATTTCCTCAGCAGAATATGTCACAGTCCTGAAAAAGAAGAGGGCAATCATTCATTCCTGAATGGAAAAATCTCTCGCTAACTGAGCTCAGCATTTTTAAAGAACTTTCAATTTAGGCATCGAAATCCACTGACGTCAGCAAGACACAAGCACAAACCCTCTGAGAATAATCTTGCTGCTGTAGGTCTGCTTGCTCTTGGCCTTACATACAGATGCCATTTTGACTTTTAAAAGTGAAGACTAAGATGAGAAATTCTCACAACTCTTCTTTACTTTGCTATAAAGCCATCAGTTTCAAACTGACGAACAGTGGGAGATGGGATGAAAGATAGCCAGCAAACCGAGAAAATGCTGCAGAATCAAAACATCAAAGCAAGTGGGAAAGGAGCCTCTCAGAGAAGAGGGATCTCCTTGAGATACTGCTTTCAGAATGGAGAATGGCTTTTTTACCATGGACTGTCAAGACAGCCGAGGTCTTCTGATCTCCGCACACACAGGTATATTCTCCTGTATCTTCTACCTCCAGATCTCGGATCAACAGCTCTGCAGTGGTATCTTCTTGTCTCATCCTATACTTATCACTTGGCTTGAGTGTCTTGTCCCCTTTTTTCCACTCCACCGGGACACCGACCTTGCTCAGCTCACAGCGCAGAGTGGCTGTTGCACCATCCGTGGCTTCTCTGTTCTTCAGTCCTTCTTTGAAAAATGCAGGCAAAGCTGAAGGACAGCAATATAGGCAGTGAGATGTAATGCTCCAAAGAGTTAAAAATAAACATGGATTTTTAATTTTCCTTTTCCCTCTTATCTTGAACTGACTTATCAATACAAGAATATAGATTCTCAATAGTCTACATGAATCAATATGAGGGAAGAAATGCCATCATCATAAAAGGATTCAATGCTTGCTGTAATCCGTTGAGATATTCTACATGTACTCAGTCACAAATTAATGCAGACAGAGGTAGAAACCCCAATTTTTTCCTGTGAAATTTCAAAAAAAAAAAAAACTAATATGAAATTTCTGGAAAAAATTGGTTTTCCTAAATGACCTTTTAAACCATAATAGGAGAATGTTTGCTATGTTTTCACACAGTTAAGCAAACAAAAAGACATGGTCCATTAAAAAAATGAAACGCTGGAGTTTCATTCTAAATGTCAGTTTGAAATGAAATTTTTCATTTCAATACATGGTGGGAAAACAAGCATTTTCACCTGAACTGACATATGGTTTCGAACATGTCCGTTGCAGTAAAAACCAAAATTCTTCCTGAGAATGGTCATCCCTTAGAAAGTTTGCGCTTGCTTTACACAGGATGCAATGACAACTGGCCTGTATTTATAAAAGCATCTCCGTGTCCCTGCTTCGGCAGGAGGGTTGGACTAGATGACCCACAGAGGTCCCTTCCAACCCCTACCATTCTGTCATTCTGTGATTCTGTGTAATGGAGTATGGGAATAAGATTCCAAGGAATAACCTAACCGTTCACAATTTTATGAAACCTTAAAATCCCTATGTCATTAGCCTTTTGAGGCAACCCATCTTAATGGGCTTGAGCATAACAAGGAGGCTAATAAAGGCACTTTGACTTGGAAAAGTAAAATGATGGACCCTAAATAAAACAGTAGTGGCATTCGGGATGCCTGTGTGTTTCTCTGAGCTTGCACACCGGCACCCCTCCTGTGCCGTGCACCCTGGCTGCACTGATGCCAATGGGAGCGTTTCACTGGCATCAGGGAGCTGTGGCTAAGGCTCTGGCAGAAAGGAGGAGATGGCAGGGTAAACAGAGGTCTGTCCAAATGAACAGAGAAAAGACGATAGTTACTATGTGTCTTGTTTTGTTTGTTTTACCATGTACTGTTAAAACTGCCATGGTCTGCTGGTCTCCGCACACGCAGGAATAATTTCCAGCATCGGTCGTGTCTAGATTTTGGATTATAAGCTCAGCGACAACACCTTCACGTTTCATTTTATACTTGTCACTTGATTTGAGGGTCTTCAAGCCCTTCTTCCACTCCACGTTAGCAGCAGCCTTGTTCAGCTCACAGTGCAGAGAGACAGTTTTGCCTTCCGTGGCTTCTTCATCTGTCAGTTCTTTGGTGAAAAGAGTAGGCAGGACTGCAGAGTAAATGCAACACGGACACGGCGTCAGAGCTGAGAAAGCCTGACCCACGATCTATTCACTCTCTTATCTCCCTGAACCTGCATGCCACCGAAGCCACGGGACCTTCTTCACACTCCAGGATTTTGTTCCAATCTCTAATATTTCAAAGGACATTTCACTCTGGTTTTTAATTTTTTGTCCTCACAATTTAAAACTTGCTTTAAAAGCAAGTCTGTCCATCTGCAAACTTAGTTGAGCAGCCACCTATCCCTTACTTTACACACCGTAAAATCAAAGGGGTAAAACTAGAGGCCACATTTCAATACGATACCCAGAGCATTTGGTTTCCCTTGAGAAAAACAGCAGTTCTACAGAAGCGCCTGATTCATGGCACTGCCTGTATTTTTATAAATAGAGCCCCTTTCAGCAGAGCAATTACAAACATGCTGTCAGCTTTCTGCAGAGATAAAGTACACGCTTTGGAAGAGTTAAGCCAAAATTGGTAAGAAAGGGCTGGGAAGAGCAGGAGCATTAAAAGGCTATTTTTCATTAAGCCAGTCCTTGTCCATCATGCATTGAAGAAAACTTGTTCCTCTTAGGAACAACAAGTGTAACAGTCAAAGTTACAAAAAGTAAACGTTACTCCCACTGTGAGGTCAATCCCCATGAGAAAACTTTTAAACAAGCAGCTCTTCTGGGCTAGGGATAATGTGTTGAGTTGGGGACCTGTACCCCCACTCATCTTTTGAGCATAGCACCTAGGAAAATAAATAGCGCATCAAGAGGCCATCAGGTGAAAGGAGAGAAAGAGAGAGAAGGAAAACAGGGTAGAAAAAATTAACCAGCAGTGAGGAGGATAGAAAGTATACAGGGACCAGATGAAACAGGAGAAAATGAGGAAGAGATCTTGGAGTTATACAGGTTTACATGGGGCATGTGCTGACAATTTCTTTTTACCATTTACTGTCAAAGCAGCTGTAGTCTGTTGATCTCCACACACACAGCTGTAATCACCAGCGTCTGCCAAATCCAAATCCCGGATCATCAGCTCCGCAAAGGGGCCTTCCTGCGCTATTTTGTATTTTTCACTCGGCTTGAGGACCTTATTCCCTTTTCTCCACTCAACCTGGGCTGATTTGCTCAGTTTACAGTGCAAAGTGACTGCCTCCCCCTCTGTAGCTTCCTTGTTCGACATTTCTTCTTGGAAGAGGACAGGTAAGGCTGAAGGATGCAATACCAACAGAGAACAAATCAGTGCTAGACCAAAATGAACTGGACTCTGCTGTGAGTTACTGGGCTGCAGTGTATTCATTCAACCAAAAATGCACTACTTCTAGGTGGATACAGTTCAAAGGGGGGTAAAACCTCCTAGAGCAGAGAAACATAAATCAGAGAAAACAATATACAACATAGCTGTGCTGTCTCAAAGCAAAAAAAAGCACAACGGAATATTCTCTAATAGGGTGACTCTTCGGCACTACAGAGCCAAGATCACAAAACCTCTAAGCAATCACATTGACCAAGCTTCAGATGACCAGCAAATGCTGTCAAATATGCTGAGTTTGGGGCTTAACGAGAAACATGGGTAGAGCGGTTACCATTCACTCTCAAAGCAGCTGTTGTCTTCTGGTCTCCACACACACAGGTATAGTTCCCAGCATCCGTCAAGTCCAGGTCTTGGATTACCAGCTCAACAAAACGCCCTTCCTGTCTCATTTTGTATTTGCCGTTTGACATCAACACCTTCCCGTCCTTCCTCCACTCGACCGAGCCCACCGCCCGGCTCAGCTCGCACTGCAGCGTGGCCGTCCCGCTCTCGGTGGCTTCCTCATTCTTCAGTTCTTTTTTGAAACGGATGGGCAGGGCTGAGAGATGCAGAATGAAAAGGGATTGCAACACAAGACACTGTCCAGATCTCTGGTGAGATGCTGAATCATAATTTATCATATGGCTATGTAAGCCTTATGCCAACACCCTTATCCTTAAACACATCCTGCTTTTTTGTGGCTGGAATAAAAAAATTTCTAGTAAATTGTTCCGTGGGAATCAAAGTACGTGCGATCTTGATTGGGATCATGCATACAAATGAAAAACTCATCCTCATCATTAAAGGTGATGAACCCTCCTTAAGAGAATCCCAAGGAATCTTCTGTTTCCATACTAATTCAGTAAAACATGCACATGAGCACCCTTCACTTGAGGAAAGGTAAGAAGACAACACAACACACACACAACACAGGGCATAACAAAAGCTGATTGTGGGTAGAGGTTGGGGAAAGGGGTGACATGGCAACATGAAAAAGTGGCAGGATGAAAAAAGCAGGACATAAAGGTAGGTGTTGTGAGGGAATGTACAGAAAGGAGGAGGGAAGACATGCGCAAAAATGTTCCAGAGTTTCACAGGTTATTTTCAACTTTTTACCATTCACTGATAAGCCTGCTGTGGTTTTTTTGTTCCCCACCACACATGTATAGTCTCCAGCATCCTTTGGGTCCAGATCTTGGATCAGCAGCTCAGCCACCACGCCCTCCTGCCTCATCCTGTACTTGTTACTCGGCCGGAGGAGAGCGTGGCCCTTCCTCCACTCCACGGAGGCCTCTTTGCTCAGCTGGCATCGCAGGGTGGCCGTCCCACCTTCCACAGCTTCCACGCTCTTCAGCTCTTCTTTGAAGAGCGCAGAGACGGCTGAGGAACGAAGCATTCGCATTTTACTTCAGAAGCATCATTACCAACTGGCGGACTCGTGCGGGACATAAAACCAAAACAAGTTCTCTTGGCACAGCTAATAAGCTCTGACCTACCTGCACTTCCAGGACTCTACTTGCATTCACAAGAGCACACCACGGGTTTGGGAGGAAATAAAAACAAAACAATTCTTTCCCAATAACTAGAATATCGAAGTAATTACTATTCTGCTGCCCAAATGTTGATGGTCACAGACACATGAAAAACATACTGAGTAAGTACAGGAAAGATCTGCACATTCTGTAACAAAATGAGAGGCTCTTCTTACCTCCCGGCTCAGAGCTCAGACGAGTGCCTCTATCCAGAGCAGAAAGCAGAACAGTTATTTCAGAGGGAAGGAAAGATATTTTGTTATCAAGGATTTTTGATCGCTATGTTTTACCACTAAGCAATCGTCCTAGAAAACAGAGAGCATAATGGATGCAGCCAGAGCTGCCTTTTGTTTGTACTGATCCTTTTTTTTTTTCCCTGAAGGCTCACTGTAAATGTGCAGGAGCTAGCCAGACCATGGCGAGAACAACAACAAATGGTCACAAGCAGGTGTCTTATTCCTACCATGGATTTTGACTTGGGCTGTGGTCTGCTGGTCTCCAGTGTCACAGGTGTATCTTCCTGCATCTTCGGGCTCTGCATTATGAATCACCAGCTCTGCCACTGTCCCCTTCTGCTTCATTTCATATTTGGCACTTGCCTGGAGCGTGGCTTCTCCCTTCTTCCACACCACAGTGGCATCAGCTTTCGTGAGTTCACAACGCAAAGAGACAGATTTCCCCTCTTCCATTTCCATGTTCTCCAGGGCTTGTTTAAAAAGGACAGGCACAGCTGGAACACAGAACCAGGGATTAGGACGTGCCCTCTTGAACTGCTGTACAACAAGCGTCCCATGATAGCATTCACCTCTCAAAACCAGTCCTTTTCCAAATGAGCAGAGCAGCCCTAGACCTTCCTTGGCTGCATGGCATCAAAGTGATTCTGCTTGGGAGCAAGCAGAAATCTCTCCCCCAGGTGTTATCATCTCACCAGGGGTTCCTAGGAGCATGGCGGACGTTTCTCTTGTCTTTCAGAAGGACCCCTTCAGAGTCCTCTAGGCATCCTCACCTAACAAATTCCCTGCTGCTGCAGGGCTCTGCGACAATATTCATGCCTTATATCTCTCTTGCTTTTTGCTCCAGCACATACCACTTTTGCTGTACTACTAAAGGCACTGTATTTGTTTAAGGTCATTGGGGAGTGCAGGTGGCATCTGAGAGCCTTTAAAGATGTTGTTTCAGGGAGTTCAGGGATCTAAACATTAGTCAGTTGGCCACATGTAATTTGCCAGGGGCTGGATCTGTTTTCATGATCTTGTGCTCCATTGTTCCTGGCCTCCATCTTTAACTCCAGTCTTCATCACAGCCATGTAAAATAGCTGATAGGTCAGGAACTATGGCACATAGGGCACAGAAAATTAATCCTGTGCACTTATTTTTTATTCAGTGGGAAGTTACAGATTTAAAACCCCAGAGGCATAACAGGAGATTACATGAATGAAATATGTACAGGTGCTTACAAGTATGCATTATTACCTTTACATTTTACATATGAATCTGTAGATGGCACTGCCACAAAAAGGAAGTGCTGTGTGATGTGTATTTTTTTTTTAATAGAAGATCTATTAAGCAAAGCATTAAGAAAGCGTGGCAATGTATCTAACTCTGCCTACCGTTTACTTTCACCCGAGCAGTGGTCTTCAGTTCCCCAGCGCTGCAGGTATACTCCCCAGAGTCTATCGATCTGACATCTCGAATAATGAGCTCTGCCACAGTACCACGCTGCTTAAATTCATACTTCTCGCTGGCGTAGAGAACCGTGTCTCCTTTCATCCATTTCACTGGGGTATCAGGTTTGCTGAGCTCACAGGTCAGCTTGACTTGTTTTCCTTCTTTGGCTTCTTCATTCTGGAGCTCTTGCTTGAAAAGAACCATTTTTTCTAAAACAGAACATTGCAGATGTTTAAGGAAACACACGAGATGATTGGAAATTACCTGTTCCTTTTTGTTTCAGACATTGCTACTCAGATAGAAAACCACAGGAACAGAAAGGCACTGGCAAACAGTAAACAGAGTCTTATAACTTGCATCTGCCTGCCAGCACTCTAGAGCTGCAAAACATATTTGAGACCATATGCTTTTTTACTTTTAACCACCGTCTATACTATTGAAGACACTGCTGCTATCACTGCTGTCATTATTGACATTAGTGGCAGATGCTGCCCTGCTATTATTCACTTAAACAGTGTTTTGCAGTGTTGCAGATGGGTGGGTAGAGCTGGACCACTGGCAAGAAAAGCATAGTTACTGAGGTCAGTTCGCACGTAACACGGAGGACACAAAAAAAACGGCAAAGCACTTTCTGTCATTACCAGCAGTATTGACTTCTCATTATAAAAAAGCCCCACAACATATTTTGATCAGACATGAATGCAGACTTGAAAACAGCACAGAGAATACACAGAGTGGGAAGCACAGCTGTACGTGAAAGGGTCCCTGTGGAGACTCCTATGCAGGCTCCTATTCAAGGCTTTCAGGTGAGCTAGTGTAGAGAAGTCACTTACTGGGAGAAAGCCCTCAACTGAAGTGTTTTCCCTTCAGGTCATGAAAAAACCCAATTTCTTCGTGGCTTCTGCTGTCTTACATATATGCAGGTCAGCTACTGACCTGTGATGCAGTTGTCCTGTGGCTGTTGAAAAACTACAGCCTATTCTTCTGTTTCCCTTTTACCTCTAGTTCGGGACACTCAGTGCCACATGGCTACTGGATTTTTTTTTTGCTTTTTTTTTATTTTCTATTTTTGCATTCTACTGTTCTGATGTGTCCCTAATAGATAAAGAAAAGCTACAAGAGTGTAATTTGTTGTAGGTGGCCTTATAACTCAATTCCTTCACATCCACCAATGATCTGAATCCATGTGTTTAAATGCTGCAGCCATCCACACCCTTCTTTGTGAAGGGAAAAATGGAGCTGTTGTTTAATACTCATTATGAGTGTTCTTAGTTTCTAACAGAAAAATTCCTCTTCATCATGGGTGAGATCCAGGTCCTACTAAAGTCAACACAGATCTTTCTTTTTCGTGTAGCAGGTATTGGGAAAGCTCCTAGTACTAATGAAAGTCATAGCAAATCTGGACCATTAAACACCACCTCTCTTCTTTGTTGCACTATCAAGGCCTTTTCTTTCCTTGCACATCAGATCTGGCCTGTTTCTTTGTGCTCTGGATAAATACTGTCAGCATCTTGCCTTCCCTCTTCATGGTCTGAGGCTCAGGTTGACTATTCCAACAACCCAAATCCTTTTTGTTGACACTGACTTCTCTAATGCAGGTGCAAGTTCTGCTCAGCCCCTCCAGAGCACATCCAGAGCTGCATGCGGAACATCCACCAGTCAGGTTAAACCCAGCCTGTGCCATTAACAGCTTCCCTGTATCTGCTTGAGCCTGCCCATGTGAATGAGAAATTTTCTCATGGGAACCAAGCTCCTTCTCAACCTCAGATTAGAGCAGTGACTCAAGACAGGCTGGAGTAATTATAACACGGGTAGCAGGTGAGCCTGGTTTTGACACGTCTTGGACCCAACGCTTACCTATCGTACGAGGTGCTTACCCAATGTGCTCAAGGAAGTACTTTAAAGTCTCACATGTCTAAGAAGAGAACTTTTGCTCCAGCTCAGACAACAATACTTCAGATAGCACATCCTGCCCGATTGTAATGTTTGGAATTAAAACATCGGATGCACTACTCTCAAGAAGTTTGGCTGCCTAAAGCAATTACCCAGACAAATGTGGGTGTATGAGCTCCCTCCTTGGAGAGAGCTGTCAACAGAAACAGCTTCAGGAGGTGATTCATCTTTCTCTGTATTACTTCTAAGGCTGGATGGATCACCTAGAGAGATGCCCACTGTACTCTACTGACCCATTGCTCTCTGCTTTGGAGAGCTTAGGCATTCAGCTTTCATCGAGCTAAAATCAGGTAAAATGGAGTATTTTTCTATTTCCTATTCTGTCACCTCTCTGGGTGCTGTCTGGGATGACTTGATGAGAACCTCTCCTGTGCTGTGGTGCAAAGACATGAGGTTCTTTTTCAGTATAATTTCACATTTCTATCACTTCAATTTATTATTCTGACCTCAGTGTCAGATGACAAGTTAGGACCCAAACCATTACTCCAAAAGTTCTTACCCTTGATAGTAATAACCGCACTACTTTTAGCTGCTCCAGCCTCACACTCATATCTGCCACTGTCTGTTTCTTCTGCCCTGTGAATGACAAGCTTGGCTTCAAATCCCGACCGGATGATGTTATACTTGGAAGAATTCCTAAGGCTCTTCCCGTCTTTGCACCACTTCACAGGGCTGTCTGATTTGGAGGTTTCACAGTGAAGGATCACATCCTCTCCCTCAGTGACTTCAGTATCAACCAGCTCCTTTGTGAAGATGCAGGGCTTCTCTAGAATCACATAAAAACCATCTGAGTTGTTTCAGAAGAGGTGCAGATTTTCAGATCAGAAGTAATCTGTGAGATTTACATCCGCGACTACTTGTATTAAAATTACAGGTCAAGGTTAGTAACAAACAATTTGGTGTGCTTGACTATAAAGCCATCAGGAAGGCACCAGTCATGCCATAAAATGTTGTCTAGTAAATATCTAATGGCATCTGGGAGAAACTGAGAAGAAAATACACCTGCTGAAGAACATAAATAAGATCTCTTTCACATCTTGCTAAATACCAACAAGATGGAGACATGATTTTCCTAAGTTGTGAGCTGATTAGTTTGAACCTTCTTACTGAATGCGGAGAAGATAATTCTGCATGAAGTGAGGTGCAATACATGTTTCTCAAAGCCACTCGTCTAGAGCAGGTCTCATCTCATCGGTCTGAGTCATCTGAAAACCAAGCAGATAGCTCAGACTTGTCACGTAAGGTGTCTCTGTAACCGCTGGAAGACGGCAAACACCTCCAGAGATCAGATATTTACTTCCAAAATAAGTCATCAGGACAGAGAAGATGAACTCCTCTCTGGAAGTGCTTCTCTTTCTACATGGCTTATAGAAGTAGCTTAAGGTAGATACCAATAGATAAAAATGGCCAAGGTAGATCTTATCACCCCTAGCTTAATGCTTTTTAATTCATAAAAATCCAAGCAATCATGAGATCAAAACCTGGTTTTGGTACTATAGCATCATATATTAGTGTTACCAAAAGGAACCAGCCTTTTGCAAATAAGACTTTTCATTTGCCAAAAAAAAAAAAAAAAAAAAAAAAAAGTTCTTTGCAAGAAACATAATGATTCTGAAAAGAATGGTAATATGATCTCACACAGTGGAGACCCCATGTTTTACCTCTCTGGGCAATGAGAATATTTAGGTTTCCAGTAAGTAAATACCTCTCTAATCCTGCACTCCTGGCATTAATCTTTTTCCCTCGCTATGGAAGTAGACTAACACTGCAGTGTTAATTCAGTTTAACTTTTCCAGAGAAAAGAAGTCATTGTCAACAATGAATAGCAGAGAACACACGTAATGTTGCCTTTCAAACAATGAAAACTAAACTAAAAACTTATTGGTTGCACCTTTCTTTTCTTGAACCAATTGATGTCTTCTCACTTATCATCACCCTATTAGGGTGGCTCAAAGAAAGCTGGACAAGGTATCTACTGCACCACCACTACAGTATAACATTTCCATCTAAGGTCCAAAAAACACACTGAGACTTGTCCAGGATTACAAAGTGTTCATTCCGTAGCCCTAGCTTCATTATATAGGTAATGCTATTCTTGAACATATACAGATATACATATAATGGGGCCAAATTTGTAGCATTTTTGTTCTTTTTTTCACCTCCACACATTAACCATAGTTATTTCTATGCATTCTTTCCTCTCCTGCAGTTTTTATGGTTGAATTACCTTTAACAACCAGACTGGCAGAGGTTTTCTTATCACCAGCTTCAAATGTAATGAGCCCCGAGTCCTTCAGTGAGAGTTTTTTCAATGTTAGCAAGTGATATCCACCAGGCTGAGACTGGATCTCATTAAGTTCATTGGTATGGAGTGGGGTTTTATCCAAAAACCACTGCACTTTGCTATAGTCTACAGGAGAGATTCTGCACTTGAACTTGGCAGATTCTCCTTCTAACACAGTGACATCTTCCAGGTCTTCTGTTATTAGCACTTTCTGGCCTGAAAGGAACATAGATACACCAATTACTTGAATCTTCAGTTTCTAGCATGAAAATCAACATGGAAAACTCCAAGATTTCCCATGAGAATATTTCAAGAAAGAAACATATCAATGATACAGAAGACTGAAACACAATTCCCCTGTTACTGAACACAAAAACCATTCACAGGAAGATAATATATACAGGACACACACCAGAATAGGCTGAAGACAACTTCAAAGCACCAGAATACATATAGAAGAACAAGTAGCCAGTAAAATGTAAATCCAAAGTTATAGAGTTTTTCCTAATGGAACTGCCTGGAAAGTCTGAAAGGATGCAGCTCTGACAGTATCACGGGGCTCTAGACATCACTGAGCAGATGATCCCTCCCTCTGCTTTTCTAGGGCAAATATATCTTGCTTTCTATGGGATAGGACCACCCAGCCCCCACCTTCTTTGAGCTTAGTCCAACCAGAAACACAGTGCAAAGTGGAAAGGGCGTCCGACTGCAGCTTGAGTAACAAGAAATAAAACAACAGCGCTGAAAACCTGTCTGTATAGATATAGATAGATATAAATAAATAAATAAAATAAGGTTACCACTGTATACAAAGATATATCTGATGTTTCTCCTACTTACAAAACCAGTCCAGGGAATTTTTACTTTTGTTGTGAGCTTTGTGACAGGGAAGTATTTTTTCACTCAGAAAAGTTGATGTTAGAAACCTCACAGCGAATCCAGGCAGCTCAGAACTTGAGGTCATGATGGGGATTAAGCACACTTTGCTTCTCAAAGCTGATCTAGCAGATGATCAGAGTTGGAGGAGTCTGGCTTTACCCCCTTAGTCTTTAATAGTTAGCTATAATAATTAATAAATGTACACTGCTATGACATCTCCATGTGACTATTCTTGAATTCTTCCTCCTGTTCTCCCCATTGCTTCATCTATTTCAGCTAAAGGATCTCTCCCATTTGGGAATCCAGTGAAGGAACTGTGAGGAACAGGAACCACCAGACCTCGCTCCTTCCCCTTCAACACTGCCCTGATGTTTGCATTGGCCACCACAGCCCATTTACTGCCCGCAGCATCAGATAAAAGCTGCTGGCTTGTACTCTTCAGATGGAGATTGGGTTGTACCCTTCATTTCTAAGGTGCAGAGGGATATTAAGCTCTTAAACATCCCTGGACCATTTATTCACCCATTCCATCTTAAAAATCACGACTGGAAAGAGGCATCAAGTGATATGGAGAAAAGCCTGGAGGCAGAATAATTTTTCCCCTATCTAACAGCAGGCACTCTGAATCATATCCATCATATGTTCACACAGGAACACCAGCCTCGCCTTGCATCAGTGTTTGGGGTTTTAAATCATACCCAAAGCACTCCAGGTGCTTCAAACCAACCAATTTCTCTGCATCTGCAGCTCCATGGTACTCTATTTTTGTCCACATGTTCTGCATATTGTATATACATCATGAGTGAGACGGCCAGAAATCAGCGGATCTGCTGCCCATATGCTGAGAATTAGGCCTGCCTATGCATATATAATGTCTCCTGTTGGAGACAAGAGATGTACGATCACATTCCTCTCAAGCATACCTTGTACGACTAGCTTGGCTCTGGACTGAGCATCACCAATGTCGCAGGTGTAAGTGTCACTGTCAATTTTCTCCAAGTTATTTATGGTGAGCTTGAGGACTTGTCCTTTCTGTGTGATCTCGTATTTCTTGCTAGCCCTGAGTTCAGCTATGCCTTTCCTCCAGACCACAGACGATGCAGCTTTCTCACTCTGGCACGTAAAAACCACAGTTCCACTTTCATCGGCTTTCAGATCTGAAAGTTCCTTCACAAAATAATTAGGTTTTTCTGCAAGGAAAGGGACAAAAAAGAAAAAAAAGACAGACAGATTCGTTACCTGAACTTGTCCTGAGCGTACAGAGTGGTCTTGAATCCCCTGTGCTCCCACTTGTAGAATCACAGAATATAGAAACATTCCAGTTGGAAAAGATGCTTAAGATCACCAAGTCCAACCACCAACCTAACCCTGCGAAGTCCACCATTAAAATATCTCTCTAAGTGCCACATCTACACGTCTTCTAAATACCCCCAGGGACAGTGACTCCACCACTTCCCTGGGCAGCCTGTCCCACTGCTTGATAAGCTTTCAGTGAAGAAATTTTCCCATATCCAATCTAAACCTCCCCTGGCACAACTTGAGGCCTTTTCCTCTCGTCCTATCAGATGGCATGGATCTAAGAAGATCTATAGAAGGATATATCAGGTAAAATATTTCCAGGAAAGTTTAATGTCATTTTACAGGTACTGGTGAGGTCTCATCTTGCAGACTGCGTACAGTTTTGATCACCCATATTCAAAACAACACTAATTCAAATTGCCAATTTTGATTGGCTCATTACGTAGCACATAAGATTTGTCAATGTCTCCAAGGTGTTTTTTCAGAGTTTTTATTAAAAAGCTTTTAATCCATAAAATATTTTGAAAATAAAAAATTGGTCCTGTTCAGGGAAATAGAAGAGAAGAAAATCTCCCACAGGTTGCAGGTACTTACCCCGATTTCTGTACATGCCAGCCCCTATGCATGCTTCAACTGACCTTGCACAGTGATCCTGGCTTTCGTTTGAGACACCTCTGTCTCGCAGGTGTACTCCCCACTGTCCTTGACCGTGGAGTCATGGATGATCAGAATGGCTCGTGTTCCTTCTTGGTGCAAGTCATACTTCTGGCTTTTTCGGATTGCTTTGCCATCCTTGTACCACCTGATGCTCACATCAGGTTTCGACAATTCACAGCTCAGGCTGATGTCCTGCCCTGCTGCTGACGTTTTATCCTCCAGCTGTTTTGTAACCTCAGTAGGTTTTTCTGAAGAGGAGGGGGGAAAAAAAAAAGGGAACTTTGAATACAAATCATGACCACTATACGGTTGGGGTTTTTGCAATTCAAATATCCAGAAAGTTTTCACATTCCACAATGAATGATTCATCTTGAGTTAGGGATGAGGGTGAGGGGGAAAGCAGTCTTGCTCTTTAGTACATATTAATTGCAGTTATGGGCTCTTGGTGAATATTAATGATTGCTTACAGGAACTGAGGACTTGTCCTGACGGCATCCGTTTCAGGGGATGTCATTTTGCCATTATTGAAGCTACTGTAGGATTGCAGTTATGGTGGGATCTACCTCACTAAATACAGACTGCTACATATCTCCATAGCACAGATGAGGCTTTCACTCCAGGGCTGCTCACTCCAGTGATCTGCTAAGCACAGGCAATAGACTTCAAGGAACAACTTATTTTTTCCTAAACAGGATTAACTGGATGATGAACTGTATCTGAAAGCTACCTATTTCTTCTCTCCACTGCCTACCCAGGGAGCTGTGGGTGATTATTTCAGCTGCAGTCTGGGTAGTAATTGTCTGTACAATTATACTACCCAGCGTATTCTGCAATTCTTAGATATCTATAAAAAGTTTCAGCCTTTCACTTGCTTTTAAGGAAAAATCTCAGTGCTTCAAGTCTCACAGAGAAGGCTGCTATTCACTTCGATCACAACAAGAGTTTGCCTTCATGGTCTACTGACATACCATGTGAAAAGACACCTAAGAAATCAAACTCTACAGCATTTCTGGTCTCATTACCTTTCACAACCAGAGAAGCCTTGGAGGTTAGACCACGGGCAGTGAAAATTACTTCCCCAGCATCATCAGGAATCACGCTTTTGATACAGAGCATATATTTCCGACCCATGTTAGAGGCTCTAAATCGCCCACCACTTTCCACTTTGCTCCCGTTCAGCATCCAATTGAAGCCACCAATGCTTTCATGGGACAAAATACACTCAAAAGTGCAGTCTTCTCCCTCCTGGATTTCAGTATTCTTCAGCCTTTTGGTGATACCAATGTTCAGTTCTGGAAGACAAAAAGTAGGTTAATACAAGGAGAAAAGGCTGTTATGATTAACATGAGTAGTAGTATTGACATTTTCAGCTCACGAGACTGGTTTATATTATCTTTTTTTTTTTTGAGAAAGAAATTAGATGTTCTTCTGGGAGGATTTTTCCATTTTAGGGATGTTCAGGAAGGAAACATTTTCAGTACATCAGCACGTGAATTTCACTGAAACGCCAGATATACTTACATAAAAAAGCGATGGGGATTGTTCAAACATCTCTGTGTTATGTGGTAAATTCTGTTAGCACTGGTCAAGAGTGGAGACCACTGAGGCTCATGGAGGAATAGGTGTGAAAGAAAGTGACCAACCCCACCCATCTTTGCAGCACCCGTTGACTGGCCATCATCTACAATACTTACCCTGAACGCTGACCTTTGACTTGGCAACATCAGTGCCGATATCACAGGTGTATAAACCTGCATCTGTCTTTTCAAGGTCATGGATAAGGAGGCACAAGGTCTTCCCAGACTGTATCTGCTCATACTTGTTACCAGAAGTGAGCTTCACACCGTCCTTTTTCCAAACAGGTTTGACCTTCTCTTTGGAGACTTCACATTCCAGTTTAATCACGCCTCGCTCCTCACCAAAAACATCGTCCAAGGACTTCATGAAGACAGCAGGTTTCTCTGAAGATTAAGGAGCAAAACAGAGAACAACCAAGATATTTAGGTTGAGACATTTATAGTTGCTACCAAACATTTAAAGAGATTAAGTAAACCCTTGGCAACACTGCTGATACCAATGCAGGACCTAAAGCAGTCTCACACCTCATGATTGGAATGAGTTATAGGGAAATTAGAATTTATTAATGGGAGAATGCAAGGAAGGATAAAGGCAGCCTGCATTACCATGGACAGGTAGTGATATTCAGAGCTGTAATTGTGGTCTCTTTTTCGACCATGCACTTATGAAATTGCAAGGACTGATTTTTTTCTCTGTGTTGGGGCATTTGTCAGGTACAGGAGATCACAGAATCACAGAATGTTAGGAGTTGGAAGGGACCTCTGTGGGTCATCTAGTCCAACCCTCCTGCCGAAGCAGGGTCACCTACAGCAGGCTGCACAGGACCTCGTCCAGGTGGTCTTGAATATTTCCAGAGAAGGAGACTCCACAACCTCCCTGGGTAGCCTGTTCCAGTGCTCCGTCAGTTCATATTTGGGGGATGCTTTTGAAGATACTAAATATTAACCTGAAATAAATGGGGTTGCTATACAGTAAGTATACCTAGCATGCAGAACACACTATTGAGTGGGACTTCAATAGAAACCACACACATATTTTCCAGGATCAAGCTTAGGGGTTTGGGAGCGGGGGTTTTGGGTAGCCCTCCGCTGTACTCTCTCCAGTAGCTCCTCATCTTTCTTGAACTGGGGAGCCCAGAACTGGACACAGTACTCCAGATGAGGCCTCACTAGGGCAGTGCAGAGGGAAGGAGAACCTCCCTCGACCTGCTGGCCACATTCCTCTTAATGTATCCCAGAATGCCATTGGCCTTCTTGGCAACCAGGGCACACTGCTGGCTTGGCCATTGGCTCTCCTAATCATGGGGAGATCCCATCACAGGGAATGGGGCTTGGAGCAGGCACGTAGAGGCCTAGTGAAGGCCAGAGGGACAGCTTCACACTACTACGGAATAAAAAACTCAACAAAATAGACTAAATTTAAGGAAGCCTTTGTCTGCATCATGGCGGAGCAGATAATGTTCTCTGGGGACGTCCATTCTCATTGCAACAGTCTACAAGTGGAAAAGGGTCAGGTGGTTAGAAGAAACATATGCAAAGAGAAGTAATTGGGACGTAGGTCTTCCAAAGCCAGAGAGCTTGCACTGCCTTGTCATGAGGCAGAATTTATGCAGTAAGAGCATCAATAAAAGGATATGCTGCACATTCTCTTCTATCCTGAACATTTTTGCCCTTGCATCTTTGTTTTATTGATTCCTTTTAACTAAATTAAAACATATTTGGCATTGAAGATATATATACAGGGGAAATTTTTGACCAGATATAAAATAAATAAGGAAGAGGAAATCCTTCAGACTCTTTGAGTGGATAGCGTAAAAGAGTCAAATTATTCCGATACTCTGGGAAGAAAAAATTAGTCGTGATCAGGAGGTAAAATGCAAAGGAAATCGGAGAGATAATTTCCAAGAGGGTATGGAGGACGTTAGACTCTGACGTTCAGAAAGAACAGCTCAGAACATTTCACACTCATGTTTCCAGATACATGAAGGAGTTAATTTAGGATAACAAATCACTATGATTTACCTGAGCATACTTGTATGGGTGTGTGGCTAAAGAAAACATGATTTTGAAACTTTGGTGAGAGTTTTACCTCACATTCCTAACATGCCTAAAATAATTCACACAACTTACTGTGGGTTAGCTGATGCACAAGAACATGTTAAACCGCCGCAACTCAGCTGAGTGACCAAACTTTATGGCATATTAAGGACAGCAGCATACTGCCTTCTTTTTGCTGAATCAGTCCAGCTCCAGAACTGATGTACTGAAAGATGTGCCCTACGCTTGGAGGTACATGGAACCTGACCTCCTTGCAGACAAAAATCTTTATCTACGCTTGGAGGTACATGGAACCTGACCTCCTTGCAGACAAAAATCTTTATAAACAACAGTTTATAGACTATATACTGTTGAAGACACCTTTCAAAGCAAAGGAAATTGCTCTTAAGACTATCCTGATGACAAATAAAAGGATACTAAATAGCTATGGAAAGTTTTGGCAGGAGACCAAAACAGTCTTCCTGAGCAAAAATCATCAGCTACAGCAGAAACTTAGATTGGAAAAAAGCCCTTGCATGCCTATTACCTGACCTCAGAGAGGTGAAGCTTACAAGAACGAGCGCTGCATAGATATGGTAAATAAGAGCTCCTTTGTGTCTCTTATTTACATTCAGGAGGAGTGTGATCACGACCCACCTATCACCTTCAGACGCACGCTCTCTGACACCTTGTCTGACTTCATTGTCACTGTGCCAGCGTCTTCAGGCTTGACATGCTTCATTGTCAGCGTGTAGCAATTGCCAACGTTCCTGATGTCATTGAAATTGTTGGTGTAAAGGAGGGTGCCGTTGAGGAACCATTCCACATCCTCGTCGTCATAGGACAGCTCGCAGGAGAAGACAGCGGAACTCTCTTCTTCAATTTCCACATCCTGCAGGTGTTTGAGTACTTCTACATTGCGAGCTGTAGGAAACCAAGGTACACCATCACCACTGTTACCATGAATCAGTACGGTTATTACAAAAATATTTCACAGTGTTTAGAATTCAGTAGATGATTTAGTCTTGTCTCCTGTACACCATGGGTCATTACATTTCATTTACTTGGTTCTGCATTTAACCCAACAAAAAAGCATCCATTAACAAGACTATACTGACTCAAGCCCTCAGTTCTCTTTTTTCACATAAATCTGTTTTGCTATTTTTCTTTTTCATTTAAAAATAAGTAAGTCGTTCTAAAATGACAATGACATTAAAGCGATGCCTAAGTATCCCACAGAGCTCCAGTCCCTGTGTGCTTGTCACTGAACACACACACACAGACACTTTGTAACTCAATGGGGGAAATACAGAGGACAAGATGAAGACAGTGGTTTTGGTCACAAACAGGAGGTACAAAGACATTCAGCATCTTGCTCAGGTTAAGGGAGAAACAGGAACTGAATTTTTTTCTTTCCCAGCCCTTGGCTGCAGGTTTCTCTTTGCAGCTTCTCCAGTCACGAAATGCTGTTTGTCAAGGACTAACTAACTCAGAAGTGGCTTTTGGGAGTATTAAATCACTTTGTTGTTTGGGTGAACCTCTGCAAGGTCAAGCTGTTACCAAGAGCTGCTCCCTGGACTTCTGGAAATGGTTCAGTGTCTCATCTCCAAGTCTTGCTGAAAGAGGCATAGCGATCATCTTTTCTTACACTTTCACCATAGGTGAAGTACTGGCTAAAAATAGTGCCAGGATGAGGTAGAACGTCATTATGAAAAGCAAACATGTAGCAGATATAAAAGCTGACACAGTGGTCAGGAAAAGAAAACCACAACCAAGATCACCAGAATCAGAGGCCTGTAGCAATTTAACGTAAAGAATATTTTTAGCAGGAAGTACTAAAGAGTTCTAGTTCCTCAGACGAAATGGAAAATGGTATGCCTTGAGAAAGATGCATGAATTTTTGCCTTACCCGGATGGTGCCCTTCCACATGCATTACCTACTTCATGGCAAGTGCTGGATTTTAGTATCATAAAATATCAGCACAATACATAATACTGTCAGTTCACTGAAGATACTGCATTTATATAAAATTAGCAGAAGACAACCAAGGGAATTTACTCAAGAAGAGAAACCCAGTGTGAAATACTGAACCATAAACATATCATAGAATCACAGAATGGTGTGGGTTGGAAGGGACCTTTAAAGGCCATGTAGTCCAAGCCCCCTTCAGTGAGCAGGGACATCTTCAACTGGATCAGGTTGCTCAGAGCCCCGTCCAACCTGATCTTGAATGTTTCCAGGGGTGGGGTATCCACCACCTCTCTGGGCAACCTGTGCCAGTGGGTCACCACCCTCAGTGTAAAAAATTTCTTCCTTGAATCTGTCCAACAGGCAAGCCTCCCTGCTGTAAGCCACTCGTACCTTCAACAGTCAGTGTGGCTTGGGTCTCCGCGTTTCCTGCCCTGCACTTGTACACGCCAGCATCTTCGGGCTTCACCTTCAAAATCTTGAGTTCTGCTGCATGCTGCTCCCGCTTGATTTTGTACTTCTCGGAGGGCTCAATGGGTGTGTGATCCTTGAACCACTTCACCACCTTCGGAGAAGGCCTGAAGTCACAGGACAGGATGACAGAATGGCGCTCCAGAGCTGTCTTGTCTTCCATCTTCCTGGTGATCTGTATGTGGTAATCTGCAAAGCAGGGTTGGGAAAGAAGACAGGACCCGTCTGAAGAAGAGGAAAGTTTCTACTCTGTACATTGTGCCAATTAATTCCATGTGTGTCATTCACAACTGTTTCATGAATTGTTCAGATGACGCTAGAGTTTTCTGTTACAGAGCTGATGTGCTTTGAAGATAAACCAACATGATGCTCTACAGGGAATACTGGTTTCTGTAAGATAATGCTGTGTATTAGCTACCAAATGTGTGGTCCGGTTCTGGTTCAGTGCTTACTGAGTTGCTCTCCGAGGTTTTTATTCAAGAGCAAATTAAAAACAAAACAAGGACTTCAGGATGCGATTGGAGATATTTACTCTGGTGACAGCAAAAGATAAAAAGCCTTGAGGCTTTGTCCCAGATCAAGTCAATGACAAAGTGGATTAAGTAAATGAGCTATCAAACTTGTCTAGTTCAGAAATGGGACAGAATAAACTCTCCTGGCAAATTTAATCTGTTTTGTCCTCTTTGGTAAAGTCAAGAAAAAAGCCCCACACCCCCCCAAAAAACTCCAGCCTTAGCTTAGTAGATTTGAACACCAGGCTTGAATACCAGGCACACCAAACTAATTTAATCAGATCCCTTCGTAAGACGCTGCTGTCTCATTTCGTGCATCCAGCACTGTGCCCAGCAGCTTGTAACTGGGAACTAAGCAGGTCTTCCAGGTACACACACATTTTCAAGACCCCAGCCAGTGGAGCCTACACGTTAGGCAGTGTGTCTGAAAAATTACTTTCCAGGGACCATGAGAGGGAGGATCCCTAGTGATCTAATTCTAGCCAGGAATATCATATATATATTATCATATCATATGATAGATATCATTATATACATATACCACATCACATTACCTCTGACGAGCAGGTTTGCTGTGGATTTTGATTTGCCAATGGAGAACTGAATGGTGCCTGTCATATCAGCACTGGTTTTCAGTATTGTCAGCCGGTGGATGGTGCCTTCTTGCTGCATGATAATGTTTCTGCCAGCCTGTAAGAGTTCTCCGCGTAGGGACCATTTGGGGGGTTTCACAGATGCAATGGATATCTCACATTCAAACTTGGCTTCTTCAGGCTCAGTCACGTCCTCATCACACAACTCTTTTACTATATTAATAGATTGCTCTGGATGAAGGATGGAATGAGAAAGCAGGTATTTAGGAGCCACAAAAGAACTCTTTCATCATCATCCTGTACACTCATGACATCTGTGTACTGCACTTGAATAGTGCATTTATTGGTTCAAAAGGCCTTAAAATATCTTATTTTATATAAAAAAACCCACATATATTGTTAGTCACAGATCAGACAGTGAGACTGTGGCACTGCCTCAAGAGAATCCAGATCTCCTGATTCCCAGTCCCACTTCTGAAGCCACTTTCCTATCCTAAAATCAAACACTTGGCACTATAAAATGGAAAAGAAGATTCATTGAAATGCAGATGTTGATAATAGGAAAGGCTTTGGTTAGCTACAGCAACTTTTCTCTGAGTCACAAGCTTTCTCCAGTACATCTGATAAACTTCTCTGGAACAGGAATTTCCTTAGGAGAATGTACCACATATTAATTTTCCTAAGAGGAATCAGTATAATGGACTTCAGAAGAAAACAGCACTGAATTAAAATACTTTTTGAGTGCTATTATGTTTTCAAAGTAAATGACAAGGGATTTTGAATCAGCAAATCTTCCTTCCAATGCATATCACAGGGAAAAAATAGTTTACTACCTTCAACAAAGAAATTAGCACTGCTTTTGTCATCAAAGGCATCACAAGTGTACGTGTCCTCATCTTCATAATCTGCATCATTGATAACAAGCTTCCGATAGACACCATCACTCACAATTTCATATTTGTCACTAGGGTGAATTTCAACGTCCTTTTTGTACCACCTAACTTTGGCACTGGCACGAGACACCTGGCACTCCAGGAATCCCCGATGTTTTTCAAGAGCAATCTTGTCTCTCAAAGGCTTCACAATTTTTACAGGTAGCTCTAAAAAGAGTGGAAAAAAAAAGAAAGATAGAATAATCAGTACAGTTTCCATGAAAGGAGCTAATTAAATACTCATTAGCAATATTTCTTTTATGTTCAGTTATTTGGATGATGACAGGAATCCCCACTATGCTAAGCGCTCAACAAGCACACAGCAAGTAAAGAGCTAATGAAAGGAAAATATTATCCCTATTTTACGACTTTAATGGCTGAACAGCAGAGACAATAAATAATTTACTCAAAGCTACACAGCAATACTATAGCAAAGCCAGGGACGGATCTCAGATTTCCTGAGCTCCTCATCAGTGTGTTAATTCAAAGATCTTTCTTCCCTCTATCTCAGTGTTGAAGTTAAAAATGCTGTATTCCTTTTAAGCATACACTAGAAGAAGAAAATGCAGGAGAAAGTCGGGCTACAGCTTTTGGTCCCTCGAAGCTCAAACGTGACTTTCAATGTCTTAGGGTACAAAATTAATCTTATGAGAAAATAAGGCGTGTTATTTAACAGAAGTAAATTCTCAGCAGCGAGACTGATATCTGACATGCAGTAAGGTATGCAGGACTTTTTCTTTCCCTGAAAGCTCTAGGTGTTGTTTAACTTTTTTGACATTGAGAGTGAAGGAAGTTTATTGGTTTGTAACATGAGAGAGTTTAAGCAGTATACACAGGAAAAGCACAATTACCTTTTACAGTAAGCTGGGCACGAGATTCTGCCTTTTCTGCTACAAATTTGATCTCTGCTGCATCTTCAACTTGGACGCGCATGTAAGTCAGCGAATAGGTCCTTCCTGAGGACAGACACACAACCAGACACAGCTTCCCCTCAGCAAATAGCTTCACTCTCCAAAGCATATCGCCAGGTTGAGCATCGCTCATCTGGTTTTGGTGCATCACCACCCACTCTTACGGAAGCAAGACCGACCATTCCCCTGTCTACATCCCTGCATCAAAGGATAACCCAACCTCAGCTCCTCCAAGGACTGACTGAACGTGGTCCCCAACATCTGGAAAGTACTTGAAATAGAAGGATCCCAGCCACTGTTGGATAATACAAATTTCTACCCACTTCTGGCAGCATGGGATGGTGGGATGACACCAAACTTGCCTTATTAAAGTCCCCAAAATGTCACTGTCCCAACCTAGCTGCAGCCCCAAAACAAAAGGAAAACTCTCTGCTAAACCTTCTTAACTTGATTTTGAGGGTCAGACCCTTCTGCTTAGCCTCCAATACCAGCACCTACTCCAACTCACCCCTATTCAAGAAAAAGATCCCCCTTTTTTGTCCTACCGTCTTGACGCATTCTAATATTATCGGCGGCCTTCAGCTTGTTGTCATTTTTGTACCATTGGGTTTGGACCTCATCATGTGAGATCTCACAGACGAAAGATGCACTCTCGTATTCATTCACTTCAACATCTTCCAGTGGTTTAACAATCTTGATATCTCGGGCTGTGAAATCATAGAGACACACATTTATTTGCGGTTTCTCCATAACTGAGTGCTATCTGTTTACCTTCTGCATACTTGCATCGAAAAAAATGGGATTGTATTTTATTCTACACCAGCCTCCCTTCCTGGGTAGTTTCTCTCTTCAACACAGTAAATATATTTTATGCTTGAACCTACATGTAGAATCAACGGCCACAGTGGGCCCCACTGCAAGAGTTTAATGGATGAGGGTTTTATGGATGCTGGAACTTTATACAGGTTTTAAAAGAAATTAAACTGTGACAGAAAACTAAACACACGCCTACAGTCTCTTGTGTCAATATAAACCCGTCTCATTCACATGCATCTCTGCGTGCTCTCTTTTTACTCCCCTGCTCGTGCATCTGGACTGTATCAGCCAGAGACCTCAGCCACATGTTTTACCTGGGAGGCACCTTTGCTTCAGAGTCCCCTGAACTTGGCATAATCTTCTTTAACTCTGCAGCTTTGCACTAATCTATGTGAGAAATTATTCATATTTGTCTGCTACTGCAGGCCTTTCTTTCTGAAAGGAAATCCACCTTGGATCAACCTCCGGACCAGAGCTCAGATGCAAACCAGCCAGCATTCAAGTAGCAACCCATGCCAATCACAAAGTCAGGGCGAAAAGAGGGGTTCAACAGAGAGATGGAACAGGACAGATGTTCATTAAGGTATTGATGAACCCAAGTGGCCGCATGACCACAACATCTGGTAAGAAATAGGAAAGAGCTGATTTGTCTTTTCAGGTGCCCTTCTGGAAAATAATATCAGCCAGAGCACAGCAGACCTGTCTGTTCAGTAAATGGTCTTCAGCACCAGCTTATCTCTGGTGCTTCAAAGCTTGGCAGCAAAACAAATCTGGTGCTTGACCGGCTGGTTGCAACGTGCAACACGTGGAGGGAGAAACCATCTTGAGCATAAAGGAGAGATGTCATCAGAAATCCTGACACTTTCCTTAGCATTTACAGCATAAAAAGTAGGGCACTTCTTGAGATCATACTCAGGGCTTGTCCAGTCTCTTTTCAGGTAAAATCCTCCTGTGACAATGGCAGAGCTAAAAACCAAAACATGTCAGCTCCAGCCATTGAGTCCCTGCTTTGGGCGAAGCTGTCCCACATTTGTTAACTTGTGAATCTAGAAACACCATGTAATTTCCATAGACCAGAAATCACTTATGACAAATGGAAAACCAATATAGCACATCTTCCAAAAATACTCCTCTAAGGGTAGAGCATACACAGAACAGCTCTGCCAGCACTTTCTCACTAGAAGAAAGTTATCCAGAATGGGTAACTGTGAAATACATGAAGCATTTCTTGCTGTGTAGTCAAAAATACTGCAGTAGATGTAATTTTCTACTTCAGTTAGAACATACCTTGAACCTTTAGGGTAGCTGATGTCTTGTCTTCAGCTGCTTCACACGTGTAGGTCCCCTGATCTTCATATTCACACTTGTGAATAATGAGGCTTCTCTTATTTCCCTGGGAAATCATCCCCACTTTTTTGCTTTGCTGGAGCTCCTTCCCATCCTAGAAGGAAAAAGGCTAAACCAGATCACCATCAGCTCCTCTGCCTCTGCAGTGAGTGAAACAAACATTCATATCTCTGCTTAATTCACCTGTCTCATTGGACTTAATGGAACTGTGCTTACGGGAACGTATGCTAAAACTTAAGCATAATGTGAAGTTTTCAACTAGGAATGGCTGAAGAACATGCGTAACTTTTGGTTGATCTTAGACACCTATCTGAAGGCTGAAGGCACAGTACAGGTTTGGCAATAAGCCCCTTCAGACATCACCTTGATGAAATGCTGTTATCCTCATTTAAGGGAAGTATCAGCTCAGCCCCAAAGAAGGTACATGAAATGCCTGAGCTGATCCCCAAAATGACTGTCAGGTGCAAAGGGAATTGAGGCTTCACCTTAAATCACAGTTCCCAATAAGGCCATAAATCCTGAGTGAGAACTGTTAGGTGTGATGTAAAGCACAAGACTGCATCGCTGTCAACAGCAAAGTTCACATTCTGTGCAAGAATAGAAAAGTTTCACTTTCAACCTGGTAAACACGCCCAGTAAATAAATAACAGAGAGTGATGAACTGCTCAAGTGAAAGAACAGAAATACAAGAGAGCCATGCTGAGAGCTGTATAGCAAAGCTCAGACTCACATCCCCTGGAAATGAAATTAAAGGCTCCATTCGCTTCCAGAGAAGTCAGAAATTACGATACCACTATCTGTCAAATGCTGTACCTTGAACCACTTCACATCCACGTTGGGCCTGGACAGCTCACACTCAAATGTGACCTTGTCCTTCTGAGTTACGCTGACGTCTGCCAAAGGTTTGCTGATTCTCACAGGCAGTTCTGCAAAAGAGGGGAACGTACAGTTAGTGGGGAATTAGGTCTCCCGGACCATCTGGCATAAGCCATAAGGAATAGGCAGAGCCTAGCTTCCAGGCTTAATAAAGCTCATGACAACAAAATAGTGTTGTTTTGAGCACATTATCATGAATTGTTCTGTGGACAATGATGTTATAATAATCCTGCTGACATTATAAAGATACGTTACTGATGATAGTCCAATACTTAACATCCTTTGCAGTTACAAGGAAAGCTTGTTCCTCTCTTAGAAGCTGGCTTTCTGGGTTGGGAGAAGACGACTGTGTCCCACACCAACCAGTGTCTGAGACTTTTGAGTCTGTGTACCTGTCACAGTGAGCCTCCCAGATGAATGAATGCCATCTGCTTTGAAGGAGATGAGTCCTGCATCTTCAAGAGTCACTGAGGAAAGCGTCAGTGAATGTTTCTTTCCCAGGACACCAATATTGATATTCGGTGAAGGCTTCAGCCGAACGCCGTCCTTCTGCCAGACCCCTTCCACGTCCTCATGTGACACCTCCACCTCGAAGGTGACAGTCCGTTTCTCAGAGACCTCGAGGGGCTGAAGACCTTTCACCAGCTTGATCTGCCTCACTGAAAAAAAATCAAGGACAAGTTGGAGAACTCACACTGACAGCTGTGAAACAGCCTGAGGACTTCCAAAATAGATTATTTCCTTATTCCTCATGCAGGTACCTGCCATTTAATTGGTATCTGCCAATTAAAGCACTACCTTTGTGGGAAATAAAACCTGTTCATGTCCATGCTGCTAGCACAGCTGCTGTTCTTAAAGTAGATGCTTTCAACTGGGACAAACAAGTCAGCCAAACACTACATCCACTGTCTATGCCAGAAATCTTTGAACACACAAATGAGGAGAGACATTCCTGTGCTGGGCGAGGTGGTCATCAATAACCATCAGGAAGAAACACTCTAGAATAAGATAATGCTGTTGTTCTTTACACTGGGACCAGGTTCCCTGTGCTGTACAGCAAGAAAGATGTTGCTGAAAATGCATTTTCTTCAGGAATGGTTCAAGACAAAGAACATGATCAATAGAGATTAATAGAGCATAAAGGAATAAACAATACCGTTGAGCTTTTCAACTAGCATGAAACGGGATAAAACTAGAATTTCTTCCTTTCTAATGAAGAAATTTTTTCCAGTGAGGGTGGTGAAACACAGTAACAGGTTGTCCAGAGAGGCAGTGGAGGCCCCATCCTTAGAATCATTGAAGCTCAGGTTGGATGGGGTTCTGAAGAACCTGATCTAGTTAAATATGTCTCTGCCTACTGCAGGGGCATTGGGCTAGATGACCTCTAAAAGTCCCTTCCAACCCTAAACATTCTATGGTTCTGTGAAAAAAAGGGCGGAAGTAGCAGAGAGAGGAGAAAGCTTTTAGTAAAAGAAAAAAAAAATCCATGACATGATGTGAAGTGCGCTGACACCTTACAGATTGGGGGACAAATCATCTGTGTTTTGGGTGGATAGTACCTGTTCCCACTACAAGACAGCAGTGCCCTATCAGCCAGTAAAATGGATTTAGTGTTTAAACTTGTCTAACTCTTAAAAAAAATTAAGTTCCCATCTAAAAAAAACAACAACAAAAAACTCCTCTACAAAGCCATGAATTACTCACAAAAATCTTCAACTCTCTACAGGTCCCCTGGGAATATTTTGACCTTCCCGGTGCATGTTTAGTAGAGATAATCCACATTCAGCCAGGATCCGAATGCAAACGTGACTAGGAGTGGGCTGAGGGCTCTGTCCAGTCATCATGGCCCAGCCCCAGCCCCTGGGTTGAGGACACCATGGCCTCTCTGAGGTTCAAACACCTCCTGTTGGCATCTGCCCCTATGCCACATGGGGGACAACAAAGAACAAACTATTTCTCCAAAGGTCTGAGGTTCAAACATCTCCTGTTGACATCTGCCCCTATGCCACATGGGGGACAACAGAGAACAAACTATTTCTCCAAAGGTCCCACAGAGGTGGTATGAGTAGACTATGACTTTATTAAGAAGCTGAGAAGAAGCACAGTACTGTTCTCCCCAGGAGGGTGGTAGTGGACTCCATGTAATGCCAGCTCCTTATGCCTTTCCTGTCTCCTCTGCTGCTGTTATATCTGTCAGCACATTTACAGAGGAACATGCACATCTTTTGTGGGATCCTGTCTAATTCCTCTCTCAAGGAAACACACTGATTCCTCTCTCAGTCTGCTCCAAGGTCACGATCACTAAAATACAGGTTTGTCCCAATGACATGTCTTGAACCTGACAAATGAGGGAAGCACAGATGCTTCTAGGAGCTTGTTCTTTGCTTCCCAAACAAAGACAACAGCTCTCCAGGCTTTGCCTACTAGAAGTTGCATCATTCCCTGCTTTCTGAACTGATTTTGCAGCCGGTTCCTGTCCCCCTGGGATACCTCATTTGCTAAACTGAACACAGTGTACCTACTACTCTTCAATCTTTCCCCTAGGCTGGTAGGTACTCCAACACCTCAAACAGTGAGTGGACTGAGGATCAAACTGAAATTATTCTGAGGAGATAGCAAAAGGTACTTGCAAATACATTAACTAAATAGCACAGACATTTCTAACTCAGTAAATGGCCTCCTGGATAAATCCTCACCTGGTGCTGTACGTAGGGCAAGTGCAGGGTCCTGCACCTGGGGAGGAACAACCTCATGCACCAGTACAGGCTTGGGGTGGACCTGCTGGAGAGCAGCTCTGCGGAGAGGGACCTGGGTGTCCTGGTGGACGACAGGTTAACTATGAGCCAGCAGTGTGCCCTGGCTGCCAAGAAGGCCAATGGGATCCTGGGGTGCATCAAGAAGAGTGTGGCCAGCAGGACAAGGGAGGTTCTCCTTCCCCTCTACACTGCCCTGGTGAGGCCTCATCTGGAGTACTGTGTCCAGTTCTGGGCTCCCCAGTTCAAGAAGGATGAAGAGCTACTGGAGAGAGTCCAGCGGAGGGCTACAAGGATGGTGAGGGGACTGGAACATCTCCACTACGAGGAGAGGTTGAGGGAACTGGGCTTGTTCAGCCTGAAGAAGAGAAGGCTGCGAGGGGACCTTATAAATGCCTACAAATATCTGAAGGGTGGGTGTCAGGAGGATGGGGCCAAGCTCTTGTCAGTGGTGCCCAGTGACAGGACAAGATTCTGTAGGACTGGGAAAAAAAAAATCACTTTTTCAAAGGTCTTGTCATATAGCAGAAACACTTGCAGAATGGTAGAACTTTTACAGGATTTCTTTTAATAGAAAATATTTTGTGTCCAGATATTTGAATTTTCATACTCATGTTCCCAGTATAATTTCTGCTATAATTAATTGACCTAATTATGCTTTTCCCTGCTGAAAGCTTAGAGGTATATCAGAGGAAGAACAACTTTACCCACGACCTACTTATTTAAGTCTTCCACAAACGTGTCCTCGTGGTCACAACTGAAAATAGATATTCAGCCAGATATGTTATTGGTTTGAGCAGCTCAGTTGTTTTTAGGATCTCCTGGCATCTGAAGATCGGAACAGATGCTTATTTTTTGATGAAACAAATTTTATACTGGAGTAAATCGACAGATTTTCACATAGCTATTCCTTATTTACTTTGCTCTGAAAGCAATCTCAAACCAAACGGTATCAATCCAGCTTCATGTTTTTTAAAAAAAGGTCCTCTAAAATGAGTCTTCTTAACCTAAAGCTGAGCACCAAATAGTAGCAGCTCAATTCCCCCGACTGTGAGCATTTAAAGAACTTCTCCTGACCTCAATGTAAGCTCCAACACATTCTACTGAAAAGAGGCCACTTGTTTAAATGCCAAAAAGTGGAGCATAATTTTAGACTTCTACTTTTAGAGTCTTGCTTTTGCTGTAAAGCAGTGTGAGAGCTCAATGCCATCTCAGCTGGAGGACTTGGATGCAGAATACCTATAGTCTAGTGCAGATCTTGTATACGGCCCCTTTCCTGCTGCATCTCATAACCAAGGCTTGGATGATAACACACAAAAAAATACCGTGCTACAAGTGAGCTGATTCCCCTCTTTCATCATGATCCCTTCTCAGCTCACGTTGAATTTCCATCAGTGCATGAAACTATCTCAGTTCATCAACAGCAGCTGCGTGCCTGGGAAGCACAAACCAAAATCCTCTCTGCCTATCAGTATTGGAAGTTTATAAACCAGAGACATATATGTATTTATGTTTGCATGACTCACCTTGCACAAAATGCTGTTGGCAACTATCAGGACTACTCAATTACTTCTTATATAAATGCTGTTGTATCATTTTTGGTTTTACTACTTGTCTATAACAACAGCCAGTGACTAAAACCAGGTATAACTGAATCTACAGCCAACCACAGAAATATCTTGCTGGAAGGAAACTGAGTATCACCCAGAGTCTGAAAAGAAATGCTAAGGGACGCAATGTACGAAAGAGGATGGAACAGTAAACTGCCCCATACTGCACTGCGTTCTTCCAGCACATTGTGACCACAGAAGTGCTATATTTCTGTATCTTCTCTGGACCCAGTTCATCCCATTTAACTGAGACAGTAAACTTGAATCTAGTTCTAAATCAGGATCGTAGTCACCCACAGTTCCTTGAATACTCAGAAAGACACTCCAGAAGGTACATCTGATCCACATTCTGGAGTGTCTTTATGAGTATTCAAGGAAGTGTTTTAAGTCTTAGATGCACTGAACACTCTCTGGAGGTCTTTTTTAATTTTTTTTTCCTCTCTGTTGACTGAAAGTGAAGTGCTAGATTTAGGCTGCATGAATCCAAGCTGAATCTACAAGCTACTAGTGACTGTCAGTTTTTTCTAGTGCTATTCAGTTTGGAAAAAAGATGAGCAACTGCCAATAGACACAATAACTGCCCTGTATCAAGATGCTAAAGTAGTGCTATTTTGACAACTGTCAGCCAGGAAGATTTTGAAAATGAAGCTGTCTCAGCAGTGCATGGAAGTGATTTGACAAACCCTGCTCTGTATGAGACAGTCTGTCATCATTTTTTGATATCTTTGAACCCATCAGAAGACCACAATATTATAAGGTTGGAAAGACCTAGAAAAATCATCGAGCCCTTCTCTCCCAGCCGTAGAATGTGCTCAGCTCTTTACATTGTCCGAGACAGGTATTTCACTAACTTTTGCTTAAATCCATGATGGAGGGTCCAAAACCTCTCCAGACGTTCATTCAGTCATTAAAAAGCTATTTTATTGTGTAACCTGAATCTTTCTCGTTGCAGTTGTAGTCCATTATTTCCTGTTGTTATTTCCACATGGAGAACAGATTATTCCCTTCCATTTTATAACAGCCTTTTATGTACTTGAAGTCTTTTATCAAGTCCTTCCTTACCTATTATGACCTACACAGCACCAATTGGTGGCAGGGGCTTTAAGGACTATCTAATTTTGTCTGTAAGTGCTTAAATCCTGTCTTCATCTATCCTGTAACAATCATGACAAAAGGATGTATGGACAAGGACAGATGTACAGGGCTACAGCTGAGACACCATTAGCTTACTTGAAAGGGCAGCACCCTCAGATAGCAGATTTGCTCTTGTAGTGTTTGAATATAAAGAGACTGAATATAAAGAGACATTCTGAAAGAGGGTTTTCTAAAAGGCATACAAAGGAAAAAACAGAGTGTACCAAAGAGTGAGAAATCTCGTAGAATCATAGAATGGTTTGGGTCGGAAGGGAGCTTATAGATCCTCTAGTTCCAACTCCCCTGCCTTAGGGACACCTTCCAGTACCAGGTGACCAGTACCTTTGGCCAGGTTGCTCAAAGCTCCATCCAACCCGGCCTTGAACACTTCCACTTTAGAGGAAGGAGAGGAATCAGCCAAGAAGCTTAATGGTCAACAGCATGACTGAAAGGTGGTGGGGTGAGATGGAGGCAACAAGAATCAGCCAGCTGTTCTCTATTTACTGCCCTTGCTTTCACCTCCTCTCAGCCATTTGACTGGTGGCTGAGCCCATGGTTGTGTCCTCGTGTCCCCATGGCAGGTGTGGGTGGCAGTGGCTGTTAGGATAACGGAAGAGACCAGAATCCATCCCCAAACCCTGTCCAGGGTATTTATAGAACTGGAGATCATTCAGCTTACTTTCCACATTGATCTTGGCTTGGGTCTTGTCATCAGGACTCTCACAGCAGTAGAAGCCCCTGTCTGCAAAGGAGATGTCCTTAACCACCAAGGTATGCTTCGTTCCTTCAGCTTTGATCTCAATTTTTTCACTGGGCTTCAATATGATGCTGTTCCTCATCCACTTCACCTGTGCAGGCTTGGTCAGCTCTACCTCCAAGGTCACTGTGTCCCTCTCTTCAACTGTTCTGGGCTCCAGTTTCTTCTTGAATGAAATTGAGGCCTCTGGCAAAAGAGAAGAAATATTAGTAAGAATGTAGAGGATGAAGAAAACAGGCTTTCAGAAAAAATTAAAATGGTAGCTCAGATGTCTCCAGTCTGAATGCATTCTGGGCATCTGTATTTAATGATGCAAAAGCAGAATTTCCCTACTGCTAACATAATTAGTCAGAGGGAAGGCCACACAAAACACCATAGGTCATGGCATCAGTGACAGCCTGTCAAAGGGACATTATCGCCTCCTACCTCGGACTCTGAGATTGACTGTGCTCTCTACACCCTCAGCATTGGCAGTGATTTCAGCTGCATCTTCCAGTGTCAGATCAGTGATGGTGAGGCTGTGGTTGGTGTCCTTCTGCGAGATCACATACTTCTTGCTGGCTTCAATCTTGATACCATTCCTGAGCCAAGTGACCACGGCATCACTGGGAGAGACGGTGCACTTGAACACAGCCTCTTTTCCTTCCTCAGAGACCACGTTGTTGAGACTCGTAACGAATTTCACCACTCTGGGAGCTGATGGATAGGAACACAACATTTAGGAGCATATCTTCAAGACATAGCATAAACACCTTCAAAGAGCCAAAGGCTTTGATGAGCTTATTGGAAGCATTGATTTTTACTACTTGCAGTAAGTGATCACAATAATGGGTCATATTTACCCGTTTCTGAGTAAGTTTTGTGTATAAAGATCCCAGAAGAAAGAGGCAAATAAAGAGGGGGGAAAATACCATCTTAGATTTGGGATACTTAATTCCAGCCTCAAATGCAATATGAAGGCCGATTTGCCCACATGAGACTTGAACTCAACAGGTCTCAAAATCGTGGTGTTCTTCACAAACAGAGGTTCCGCTGATGCTGAGAGAGGAAGTGGAGTTTCGTGTTTTGCTGCCAACACAGGCGACAGCACAAACACATGAGCAAACTCAGCTTTGTAGGGTTGTAACAACTGAGGACAAAACGCAAGGATCCCTCCACCTTGTCACCATGCAGTCGTAGAGACATACCTTTGGGGGTGATGGTAATGCTGCTCTTGTCATCTCTGGACTCGCAGGAGTATTCTCCTTCATCCTCAGCCCGGATCCCTGATATTGTCAGCGTTCGCTTGACCCCCTCCTCATGAATCTGGAAACGCTTGCTGGGCTTGATCTGAACTCCATTCCTGCGCCACACCACTTTCCCTCTGGCGTGGCTCACGTCACAGGTCAAAGAGACACTGCCTCCAATCTCAGCATTAACAGCTTCAAGTTTTTTGGCAAACTTCACTGAGATTTCTGAGATGCAGAAGGAGGTAAAATGACGAGAAAGGAAAAGATAAGAAACCTGTTCTAAGAAACTGTCTCTGGCCAACTTTTAAAAAAAAAAAAAAAAAAAACCACAGAAAAAAAACCACCCCAAAACCCAGCAGATTTGAGGATCACTGTAGAGACAAATAAACCAGAAAGGTGGTGATTTACGGAGATTCCTCTGACATGGAATTTTAATACAAATCTAATTCTGTAAAGCAAGAACAGTGCCATTAAACAGGATTGGGTTTTGCCTTCCGTTCTTTCTAATTTCATACCCGATGAGAACACGTGGTGCTTTTACATCAGAGCCTGATTTGCCTGACTAAATGTAAAAATCCTTATGGATGTACAAGCTCCAGCCACCTGTATCTCTTCTGTCTCTGGAGACACAGTCAACGGAGTCAGTGAAATCCAGGGTGTGATTTCTTTCATCCTTAAGGAGATATTTCAATAGGTCGGATGTATCGTGACCTGTTAGCAACCACTCCTCTGCACTGACTCCAAAGGGAGCTGAGGGGGTGAGTTTCAGCTGCAGACATGTCCAGTGTGGGTGTCTGAAGAGAAAGGAACAGGCCTTTGTTCTGGGACATCACCTCTCTCATCTCCATCTGTGGAGCAGCTGTACTTTATCCTTCCTGTCAATTCATAGTCTTAGCCCTGACTAGGGAATGGCAACCTAAGTGCACCATGCCAAAAACAGAGGGATGGTAAAAACTGGTTCCAAAACTGGGTATTTGGAAGCAGAACAACTTTGCTGGCCCATGGTGAGGCAGCCACTGCAGCCACAACAGCCATTCAAGCCTTCAGGTTGGAACAGTTTTAGAGAGAGTATGGACTTCACCTCCATCCTACCATGACGGAAACGTAGCTGTTGGGTTGGGACACCTGCTCGCTGCTCTCTGCTCACCTTTCACCTGTACTTTGAATTCCTGCTTGTCATTCTTTGTCTGGCAAATGTACACAGCTGTGTCTGTGCTCTCAGCCAGGTTCACCGTCAGGGTCCTGGATGCCCCCTCACTCTTGATTTCATATTTCTTGCTCGCCTTGATTTCTGTTCCATCCTTGAACCACTTTACTGCAGCAGTTTCAGGCGTTACTGAAGTAGTCAGTGTGATGCTTTCATGTTCTTGAACAATGAGAGGCTCTTTCTGGACAATTTTCTTTTCAAATTTAGCCTCTGGTTCTAGGAAAGATATTAAGATAGGAAAAACTAATAACTTCAATCTCAAATCCTTAACACAATGATTTTCTATTATTCAGTCTTCATGACTCACAACACCAGCTCATCTATAATCTGTAAAAACCCAGGGAATATGGCTGAATATTTGTGGCTGGTGTAATCATTTATTGAGTGGGAAGAAAGAAAATGATCTGTCAGGCAACCCAGAGCTTCTGCTTAGAAGAGAAGAAAAGGAAAGAAAACGCAAATATACATTTTATCCGCTGCCCACAAAAAGCTTGTTTCTTAGAAGTATAATGATCTGTATAATCATATACCTGTCCCATTTTCAGAATTTTAGATCTCATTAAGAGGAAAAATTAATATGCTAAACCTGAATTTGTGGCTTATTTTCTTTTCCGCTTGCTCTATTCCCTTTCTCTTGACTTCTTCTCTGTCTTGTACAATGTTTTGCCACAAAACCAGGCAGTTTTGGGACGCACACAGAAGCAGACCAGCTTTTCTTTGTCACCTTTCTCCGTAGCTCTATTTCTGCTCTTCAAAATCTCCCACTTCTACTTTCAGCTCCCCACCACTTAAAAGGGTTGGGCAAAGCGGTGTGTGAAGGAGACATTAAATAAAAAACTATGTAGCATTTCCATAGCCAGAAAAAAGTCCCCAGTCAGATTTCCCACCTCCACACCGCTAGATTCAAAAGGTCAAATTAATGCATAATGTGGTGGGAAAATGGTGGCTACACTATGGCCACCAGGTAGGGAATATCTGGTTTTCTTATAAGCCACAGAAAGAGCTGCTTAGGTGAGTCCTCACCAGTTGGTTCTAATTTGAAGGTCAGCTTCTGGCCTGCAGCCTCACAGATGTATTCTCCAGCATCTTTCTTCTCCAGCTGCTCTATAACTAGGCGCCGGGTTTTTCCTGCAATTTCTAGTTTGAATTTTCTAGAGGAAATGAGCAGTTTTCCATCCTTGTACCATTTCACTTCGGTTGCATCCTGTGCTACCTCACAGCTGAGAGTGGCACTTTCTGTGAGGGCAGCCTTCACCTCCTTCTGGACCTTTTCCTGGTTTATAAATGCAGGTTTCGGCTCTGAATGCAGAAAAGGAAGAAAATATTGATTGAAGGATTACAATTACATCAGTGTTACAGATTTCTGTGTAGACATTTGGAAAATATTTAGGTTGCTACTTGCCAAAATCAATTGACTTCACTGGGCAATATCTACCCTTCTGGGTGACCCAAATTCAAAGTGGAAACCAGGGAAGCAAGAGCTTAGGGACGAAGAGGACTAAGAGGGTCCTTGACATCAGTCCTATGGTTCCAAGCCACCACGCAAAAAACATTAAATTTAAACATTCCCAAAGAACATCTTGTCCTGCATATCACCAAAAGCTCACAAATTCCTTTCACTCAAGACATATAGTGAAAGACCAAGGTCACAAACACAGCACTGTGGGCTTCTGGAACAGACTCTAGTCTGAGCCACGGTCTCTTCCACTGTCACAAATGTGACTATAGTGCTCAGGTAGACCAGGATCAGGGCTGCCAAAGTACCCAAGGTTGTTTGCAGCGTCAACATTCCCTTTAGCATCACATGCTTAAAGCTCTTTGGGCACAAAAAGACCATCTGCTGCGAGTCTTTCATGACAAAGGGACATTCAGCACCTGGCAGAATTAGTAAGGCATCTCAGCAGGCTTAGAACTCAAGCAGACAACAGCACAAATTCAGAAAAACATGCTGAGTTTTCAAACTATCTTGCTGAGTGCTGTTGCCAAAATTGTGAATGACCAAGCATATTCCAGCCTCTCAGTTTTCAGAAATGGAATCATAAGTCTAACAAGGAATGTATTTATGAATGGCTCTTTCCTTTCAAGAGCTTCATTGCACAAGAATCATCCTTTGGGATACCAGAAATGGGAGAGACCTAAATAATAATATGTTGATTATTATTTCTATTATATTTATATCTGCAATTATTATATAGACAGACTTAAGAACAAGATAGGCCTTTATGCCATGCTAGAGCCAAATACTCCCATTTCTAGAAGTCCAAGCAATCAAGTACAGAAAAATCAGGTGAACCCTACAGGGTGCAACAAAGCCCAGACTATTGTAACTGAGTGGTTGTGTAATAATTATTACAGGTATTACTTCATTATCCTCTACTGAAATTTGGACAAGATATATCTCACCTGTGATGTCAACCTTGAAGGTCAGTTTCTGGCCACCAGCCTCGCAGGTGTACTCCCCAGCATCTTTCTTCTCCACCTGACCCACCACCAGGCGACGCGATTTGCCCTCCGACTCCACCTTGAACTTCTTGCTTGAGGTGATCAGTTTGCCCTCCTTGTACCATTTCACATCGGTCTTCTCCTGGGCCACCTCGCAGCTCAGCGTGGCATTTTCTGTTAGTGCAGCTCTCACCTCCTTCTGGACCTTGTCCTTGTTTGTAAACACAACTTCGGGCTCTGAAAAGAGAGAGCAATTCAGAGTGTCTCTAAGATAAGATGTTGCGTGATCCTGTTATCATGGTCTACCGGTAACACTGGAAATCAAGCCTCTGATTCGACAATACATATCTAAAAGTAATGGTAAAACATTCACACTACTTTGTGGTAAGTCTTTGTGTTTTGTTTTCGATTTTGAGTGCAGGCATCAGGTAGACACGCTACCACTCTCCACCAGGACCCTGCTCTGAAGTGCACTGAGAATCAGCTGCCTGGCAGAGTTGTTCTGATTGCACCAACATATTGGGATGGAGCTGTACAATCAGTATTTTCCTTTTCAGGTCCCTGATCCTACAGAGATGAGTAGCTTCTGAAGTTTTTCAAGGATGGAGCGCTCTGTCTTAAAGATTTTATAATGTTTTATATAGAAGGTATACAATAATACACATTTTCCTCAATATTCCAGAAAAAGGAAGGCCAGCCTAAAGAATCTTCTCTTACCTGTGACAATAATCTTGAAGGTCAGTTTCTGGCCAGCAGCCTCACAGGTGTACTCCCCAGCATCTTTCTTCTCCACCTGACCCACCACCAGGCGACGCGATTTGCCCTCCGACTCCACCTTGAACTTCTTGCTCGAGGTGATCAGTTTGCCCTCCTTGTACCATTTCACATCGGTCTTCTCCTGGGCCACTTCGCAGCTCAGCATCGCATTTTCTGACAGTACAGCTTTTACCTCCTTCTGGATTTTGTCCTTGTTTGTAAACACAACTTCTGGCTCTGAAAAGAGAGAGCAATTCAGAGCATCTCCAAGATACGATGTTGCATGATTCTGTTATCACAGCCTACAAGTAACATTGGAAACCAAGCTTCTGATTTGACAATATACATCTGTAGCTATTAGAAGAACATGAAAACTGTTTTGTGGTGAGATTTTTGTGGCTTGTTTTGTTTTTAAAAGAAGATTTTCGCTGCTTTTTTACAAATCACACTAAGAATAGTATATTTATGTCAGCAAGCTAGGACATCATCTGCATCATTTCCAAGAGCACTGTAAGGCTGGCCCCAGCCAAGGCAATTTGCTTTTTGGTTGAAGTTGACACCAACTAATGGATTC